CAAAGCAGTGCACCAAGAGGAGGAGGGGGGGGGGGATATGGGGAACTGTAATCTTTGGCAAGCAACAAAGTTCAGTGATGATAAGTGGTGTGCACCCTGGATATTTTGGCTTATACTATCAGTGTTACAGTATACTCACTGACACTTTACTTAGCTATGTATCCAAATACTAAAAGCTGTACTTTCTGAGTATTATAAAAAAAAAATTATTAAAAAATTGTACTATTATTTACACGCTAATCATTTTTTAATTTTTTTAATTTTGCAGTTGAAAATCAAGGCACAAATGGAATTTCACAAAGAGAGATAAGATTGGCAATGAATGTGGGGAAGCTGGAAGCCAGAATGTTATGTCGTTTATTAGAAAGATATATGTTGATTAAGGTTAGATGTTTTGTCTTGTGTGGGGGGTTTTGATAAATGGCTTGGGTCAGCTTCTGCCAATAAAATATCACAGTAACTAAATCTTAAAGGAGAACTATGAGGTGAGTGCTTTTCACTCACCTCATAGTTCTAGCCGACCTGTGACAATGAGACTGTCACAGGTCGGCTCAGTAGATCGGGAGGTGAGCGAACACATACCGGCGTTCGCTCACCTCTCGATCCTGTCACGGCTCTCTGCCGTGACAGGGGAGGGGCTGGATTCCCCGCTCCGCCAGCGCTGACTGGCGGAACGGACGAGGAGGGGGCGGGTACAACTGGCTCTGCCTCTAGGTAGAGCTACTGGTAGATTGTGATCTACCAGTAGCTCTCAAAGCTGATGCTGGTAGATCAGGAAGGGTGTGAATAGCGGCCCCTTTATTCCATTTTGGCATATTTATTTAGCTGTGCACACATGATTACCTATTAGCCTGGTTCTGCTGAGACAAGCTCCCTGACACCTTTCTGGTGAATACTGGTGGTTGAAGTGCTATGTATTACATCAAAAAATATTAGTTTGTATTAGTTTGCACAGCCTGTTGCACTGCACTGTTTGCAAAATACAGCAAGGCGAACCAGGAGAGAGAGCGGGGAGAGACAGCCAAGAGAGACAGCCAGGAGAGAAAATGAGCACCCCTGCTCTAGGACCACCATCTAGGTGTAAACTAAACAGCCAAAAGATTAAAATCAGTGGCAGTGAATGTCTAAGAAGAGATAAGCAAGAATAGTGACAGATTGTGGAGAGGAAAGCAGAAAGGGAAAAAAGGAAATCTTGGGTGTTGCTTTTTTCCACCAGTACTGGCCCAGTAGATCTTTATAGATCACATAGAACAAGGGCCTAAAATAGCCTTTGGAAGCCAGTATATTGTAGTGATGTGATCAGTAGGACCAAGGGTAGGCAATCTCCGCACTCGAGATGTTGTGGAACTATAAGTCCCATGAGACATTGCAAGTCTGACAGCCACAGGCCTGACTCCAAAAGGCAGAGACATCATGAGATTTGTATATTCACCACAGCTGGAGTGCCAAGGTTGCCTATCCACAATTTAGACCATTATTTATTTGTTATTGGGTCATGTCAGGAGCTTGCATTATTTCAATGGTCATGTTGTGAAACCTTTTTCTTCCCTTTTTTTTTTTTTTTTCAGGGCTTCATGGAAGATGAAGGACGTCAGCGAACTACCAAATTTATTTCTCATGTGTTTGTTGAGGAAAGTGAATTACGCAGACAATTCTTAGAGGAAAAAGCAAAAAGCGAGCAGCTATCATTAATGAATTTGGATACATTACAAAATGTAGAAGAGGACAAAGCAATGTCTCCAGAAAACAACCCATCTGTGGACTCGCACATTTCAGAAGATGAGAAGGATGATATGAGTGAATACATTGCTAAGACAAGCACTCCTCTACCTCCATCAAAGGGTAAGCTATTTATTTTCAGTAGTTTGTATTTGCAGATATAAAATATTGTATTTCTAATATTTTCCCTTATCATATGTTTTATAAAGTTCCAAACCAACTTAACCTGATATCACACTCCAATTGCTGGTTTCCCCAATCTATATTGGGAACTTTTAGGGCCCATTCACACCACATCCAGATTACCTCCAGACCAGACTGTTTCCGAACCCAAAATGCATCCGAATGTATCCCTATGCTATTTCTGGCCTTTGTTCCCACCAGCGCAGTCTGTTCCAGACCAGAAAAATACAGCGTGTCCTATTTTGTCTGGTCTGGAATGCACTAGAACGCATCAAAAACGCATGGAACTCGCCTGTAAGACCATTTTAAGCTAAAAAAAAAAAACAATTCCAATTGCGGTAAAAGCGCGGCAAAAATGCAATGCACTAAGTTCCAGATCTGGTCCAGGAAATGGTGTGAACCCAGCCTTAGGGGTGTTATTTTTCGCATTAAATGCCCGCTGATACAACAGCTGGGTGATTAAGGATGTTTTTGCTTAGTTGAAGCTGAAGTATTTTTATGGTTGGAGTGACTCAAGTAAATGTATGTAACATTTGTATGATGCCTCAAGTAAGTAACCCCACTGGTGTTCTCTGTACCCCTTAAAGACAACTAACCTCATCCCATCCACAATCTGCAGATTTATGTTCCCCTGCACATTATGTTTAATATGTGCGTGGGTTGGGGTACTTTTTTTTTTTTCAATTTGACTTGTTTTTCTTTAACTTAACCCTAATGCTTTCACATAGGAGTCTCACAAGCTCCCTATGTGATATCACGTTAGTGGTTCTCTTTAAGAGATTGAAGTGGCTTTGTTGCACTCCTTACCGCAGGTCCCCAGTCCTGTGGGGGTGCTTGTAGTGACTGATGGCGTCGCAAGACAATGGTAATAGGCAAATGTCACCAGCACACCAAAGAGATTTGAGATCCAAAGTGTTTGTTAAATGAAATGTCATATCATCAGAACAAGCGCTTTCGGGGCCTCACAGGGTCCCCTTCAGCAGTCATTGCTGAGCCTGATGAAGGGGACCCTTGAGGAAAGTGAATTACGCAGACAATTCTTAGAGGAAAAAGCAAAAAGCGAGCAGCTATCATTAATGAATTTGGATACATTACAAAATGTAGAAGAGGACAAAGCAATGTCTCCAGAAAACAACCCATCTGTGGACTCGCACATTTCAGAAGATGAGAAGGATGATATGAGTGAATACATTGCTAAGACAAGCACTCCTCTACCTCCATCAAAGGGTAAGCTATTTATTTTCAGTAGTTTGTATTTGCAGATATAAAATATTGTATTTCTAATATTTTCCCTTATCATATGTTTTATAAAGTTCCAAACCAACTTAACCTGATATCACACTCCAATTGCTGGTTTCCCCAATCTATATTGGGAACTTTTAGGGCCCATTCACACCACATCCAGATTACCTCCAGACCAGACTGTTTCCGAACCCAAAATGCATCCGAATGTATCCCTATGCTATTTCTGGCCTTTGTTCCCACCAGCGCAGTCTGTTCCAGACCAGAAAAATACAGCGTGTCCTATTTTGTCTGGTCTGGAATGCACTAGAACGCATCAAAAACGCATGGAACTCGCCTGTAAGACCATTTTAAGCTAAAAAAAAAAAACAATTCCAATTGCGGTAAAAGCGCGGCAAAAATGCAATGCACTAAGTTCCAGATCTGGTCCAGGAAATGGTGTGAACCCAGCCTTAGGGGTGTTATTTTTCGCATTAAATGCCCGCTGATACAACAGCTGGGTGATTAAGGATGTTTTTGCTTAGTTGAAGCTGAAGTATTTTTATGGTTGGAGTGACTCAAGTAAATGTATGTAACATTTGTATGATGCCTCAAGTAAGTAACCCCACTGGTGTTCTCTGTACCCCTTAAAGACAACTAACCTCATCCCATCCACAATCTGCAGATTTATGTTCCCCTGCACATTATGTTTAATATGTGCGTGGGTTGGGGTACTTTTTTTTTTTTCAATTTGACTTGTTTTTCTTTAACTTAACCCTAATGCTTTCACATAGGAGTCTCACAAGCTCCCTATGTGATATCACGTTAGTGGTTCTCTTTAAGAGATTGAAGTGGCTTTGTTGCACTCCTTACCGCAGGTCCCCAGTCCTGTGGGGGTGCTTGTAGTGACTGATGGCGTCGCAAGACAATGGTAATAGGCAAATGTCACCAGCACACCAAAGAGATTTGAGATCCAAAGTGTTTGTTAAATGAAATGTCATATCATCAGAACAAGCGCTTTCGGGGCCTCACAGGGTCCCCTTCAGCAGTCATTGCTGAGCCTGATGAAGGGGACCCTGTGTGGCCCCAAAAGCGCTTGTTCTGATGACATGACGTTTCTTTAAACGAACACTTTGGATATCAGATCTCTTTGGTGAGCTGGTGACATTTACCTATTACCAGGTTCTCTTTAAGGAGACAATATGGGTCTACCTTTTGGCAGTCTGTAAAACTGATCAGGGAGCTTTATAGCACCCCAATCACTATCGGTGTAAAGCCAACAGTTGTAATCAAACTCCTGGCTTCCCCGGCTGCTAATTTTAAAAGTACCTGTGCATACCCTGCCAAATACCCACGTATAGCCATTCATGTTTGTGGGTGACTGTATGCACCTGTTGCTTCCTGGGCAGGGAAATAAGCCCAAATTTTACATGTATGGCCCCCCTGTGCCCGTGTGCATGAGGTCAAAATCCCACAACGTAATTGCTGCAATAACTGGAAACTTAAGAAAAAACAATGCACAGACCTGTTCTGTTCTGTTTTATTTTAAAATTGCTTAAATGTCCCATACAAGACATGTTTTGTTTTGCAGAAGTTAGTAGTTAAAATCCTCAGGCAGACACTTTAAGGCTCTTCCCCTTAAAAAGCCAGCCTTGAGGGGAGCCACCTCAGTGCTGAACTGCTGTACAGTTGGTCCTGCCTTGTGCGTGATCTTCTAAAAATGTGCATGCAAAAAAAACAAATCAAATGATCTGAACTAAAACTTTAAGTACATTGTGTTTAAAATGTATATTTCATTGTAATGGTACCTTTTTATATTGTAAGCTTCTTGAGGGCAGGGACTGATGTGAATTTGCAGTATGTAAAGCGCTGCATAAATTGTTGCTGCTATATAAATACCAATATTAATAAAAATCATAATTTATTATTATTATTATTATTATTATTATTATTATTATTATTATTCAAAGACAACAAAGTTGTGGTACCACTGCCCCTCATTTATCTGTGTACTGCTGTTTATTGAATAAAAATGTTATTACTGGCACAGCATTTGCTTATTTTTGTCTGTAATTTATTTTGTTGTTGCAGGAAAATCCTGTTTTCAGCTCGCTGAACTGGACAAAATCTCAGTCACATCAGAAAACAACTGCAGTAGGGACAGTCTCCATATAGAGCCCAACCTTTCTATGATAACTACACACTCTGCAGATGAGGATAGAGATGATATCTCTGTAATTGAGGAGGTTGTGTCAAGTGAGAAACAGAAGCATGTAATTATCATTTTAAACCGTTTTCTCTTAAAAATGAAGTCTTGCCCTTTTTTCACAGCTTGGTCCCCTAATTCCCACAGTGTATGTTGCTTTTTATCTCATGGTTCTGTGTACAGCAGAAGTTGAGATCCAGAGGGTGACAGCACGCCCCATTCCCAACCACAGAGGAAAGGAGACAGTCTCTTAATTGATGCTCATCTCACTCTTCCTGTGCTTTCCTGACACAAAATGGGCATCCCCTTCCAGTTCTAGTGCTTGTTCTGATTCCTATGCCAGGAACAGTGAGCTAACAGCTGTCAATCAAGAGGCCTGTTTCCTTTGCAGAGTGCAGTTGGGAATGGGTGGTGCAGTCCCCAAGTGGATTTCAGATTCTACTGTACACAGAAGCACGGGATGAAAAGCAGCATACACTGTGGGAGTTAGGTGACTGAACTGTGAAAAATAATACAAGGTGAGGCTCCTTTTAACTCTCAAAATCCACTAGTGTGGTCAGCTCGCGGTATACTGAGCCTAGGGTGACGGGAGGACGCTAGTTTGTGTCCTCCCGTTACCCTAAGGAGAACTATGGGGAAAAGCCTTAACCCCATAGTTCTCCTTTTTAAGAAACCCTAACCCAATTAAAAGCAATTTAAACTACAAGAAGCATTTTCTAAATATATATTTTTTAGCTTATGCTATGTGAATAGGAACATGTAACAATAATAAAATCAATGTTATGCCAATTTGGCTGTGAAAATATACAATAATCATTAAGGTCATTTGGTAATGTAAAATGTTTGTTGCTTGTTAAATGAGAATTATGAGGTGAGTGATTTTCATCTCATTTCATAATCTAAGCCGACCTGTGACAATGAAACTGTCACAGTTCGGCTCAGTAGAGCGGGAAGTGAGCGAACACATTCTGTCGCTTGCTCACTTCTCCATCTATCCGTGCAGAGAGCCGTGACTGTCACTCACGCAGAGCCAGCTCTCACTCACGCAGCTCGGTGGATCCAGACAGAATTGTCGGGATCCGTTCCGGCTGCGGCGTCTCAGTATACCGCGAGCTGTAACACGCGGTATATTGAGCTTTGGGTGACGGGGGGAAGCTAGTTTGTGTCCTCCCGTTACCCTTAGGAAAACTATGGGGAAAAGCCTTAACCCCATAGTTCTCCTTTTAAGTAAGTTAGTTAAATTAGTTATTGTTATTCCTAAAGCTGGCCATACACCTATAGATTTTCAATCTGAAATTTTCATTGGTGACAAAAACCCTTGTTTGATTCTAGCTCAAAAAGCCCATCAAGCACAGAGCAATGTTTCGATAATTGTTCGTTAGCAATACTAACTCCCCGAATTTTGACAATCAACAGAACGGATTTTCGTTTGCACAGGTGCTGTGTTCTTGCTGCATTTTTTTTCCCCCCGTACGAAAGGGCCACCAATCCATCGATTCTTCATTTCATTCGAAAAAAGTTTTCCAGCCTCACCCTTCGAGAAAATTATAGCGGGATTACAGTTAAAAAAATCGTTGGTGTCCCATCAACTGTTCAATTATCATTCGAAAGATCATTTGTGGAAGATTTCCGAACGAAAGTCGTACAGTATATGAGCACCTTTTTAAGGCTTCCAAAATTTTCTGCAAGTGTGATATTTTAAATGTTGGCTAGGTTTCCACCAGAAGAAAATTAACTGCACTGTGTTTATTAAAAAAAAAAAATGATGCATATTACATACACCGATACGTCATTTATTTGTCATGTAAAAATAACCCCAGAAAGGAAGAGGTGAAATATTGTAGGTTTCATGAGTTGAAGTAGGACACTGCCAAAACAGACATACTAACTACCGTATTTTTCGCTCCATAAGACGCACTTTTTTCCCCCCAAAAGGAAGGGGAAAATGTGCCTGCGTCTTATGGAGCGAACCCCGACGCCCGAGACATGCGGTTTCCGGCGCCGGCCGAGTAGTAGGAGCCAGTGCTCGTTTAATACGAGTGATCTAATGAGATCACTCGTATTAAAGCCGAGCAGCGGCGGTGGCGATCGTATTCAGCAGTAGGAGCCACTGCTCGTTTAATACGAGTGATCTAATGAGATCACTCGTATTAAAACCGAGCAGCGGCGACGATGGAGATCACCATAGAGCAGACGAGGAACGGACTTTCTTCGTCTGCTCTGTGTGATCACTGAGAACGTGGCGCTGTAATCACAGCGTCACCTGTCTCAGCGGTCACTAACTGCAGCTTCTGTCACAGCTTCTGTCATAGAAGCTGTGTCAGAAGCTACAGTCTGTCGAGTGCTCCATAAGGCGCGCCGGACCTCCCTGCGTCCTATGGTCCGGTGCGTCTTATGGACCGCAAAGTCTAAAGTTGGCCATATAAGGCTTGAATTTCCAATGATTTGATGAAATGTGAGGTGTGGGTGACCATGTTGGCCACTTTTCGGCCAAAACAGTGGCTGCATCCTGTCAGATGCAGTCACCGTTCAGGTAATCAGGCAGCGGCCGGTACTTTGGCTCTCTGAATATAATAGCTGGATATAATAGCTGGAAAGAGAATCTATGGTTTTTTCTGTGTGTATGGCTAGCCTTAGAACACAGTATCACAATTTGGTCTACGTTTCAATTATCTTGATTCAAAAGACACATTGAGGGGAATTAATCAAAACTAGAACAGACAGAATCTAGGGCAGTTGCTCATGGCAACCAATCAGCATCTCTCTTCAGTTTGGTCAGTTAAGATTTGAAAATGAGACAGAGAAGCTGATTGGTTGCAGTGCTCTAGATTTTGTCTGCTCCAGTTTAGATAAATTCCCCTAATTGTTTATTTCATTTATAGTCCTCTTTTCTTTGTGGATCAATACTAGAATTGTCACCTGCAATAGGAAATGTTTTCTGACCTAACTTTTTAATAAATAATGGATTGATTCTAAAGGCATTTGAAATTGTTAATTTACTGGCTCCCTCTAGTATATTTTTGGGGAAATACACATTTAAATTGTTTTATGCCCCCCCCCCCCTTTCCTCAGTGTCATTTCATCCAGAGGACATCTAGTGGTGAAATGATATAACGTAAGGACAAAGAGGAGTTGAGTGTTGCAGTCAGAGATTTTTTTTTTTTTTAGTAAACCTCTTGCTTAGAATATCTGTCTTGCAATGTCGGAAATGTATACTTGTTTCCGAGCTGGATTTTATGAGGTGATCTTATGAGTCTGGCCATCTGCTAATGGACATGTCAACAACTCTACCAGTTGCAGAAACCAAGACAAAATTATGAATAGGTATTTAGAGGCCAGACAGCTCTGCCATATGAAAATGCAGATTTATTTTTAGATTTGGTAGCTTTTTCATTGAATAAACTTGCATAATTTAATCTATTTTAAGGACTTAAAAGCTAAAAGAGGTAAAAAGTCTTCTAAGTCAGCAACACTGGAAAAATCTCGTGAAACCTATCGCCTTTTGAAAAGGAGGAACATAATCGTGGAGACTGTTAAGAATTTGCGATTAGTGGAGAGCTTGTTCACGTAAGTTATATCTTCTTAGTTTAAAGAAATAAATAAAAGTAATCTGCTTTTTTAATAGTTTAATGGTTTATATCAATTACTTATTAAAGTGTTTTACATATACTTCCAGGCTAGTGATCCGGCCAGGAACACACTTCTGTCTTAGGGTGCCTAACTCACTCCACCACTTTATCTAGGAAGGGGCTACATACCAACCAACAGCAAAATTTTCATCCTGTAGAGAAGGCAATGTTAGATGTGCTATTCCACTCAGTTGGACTTTTACATATGTGAATAAGAGATTAAAGACATTCTCCAGTTGACACTTTTTATAGTGACACTAAACTCAGGGGTTAAATCTTAAAAATGCATTCAAGTACCTTACCTGTTAACAATACTGTAGCATATTTGTGTGTCACTGAACTGAAGATATTCAAATCATCTCTGAATTTGTGCTGACACTGTCATTCCTTCTGGAAAGTGGCTACTTTTGTTCCCCGTGGTCCCTGTGTGTGTTATAAAGTAGCCACCGCTCCAATCTCGCTGCTGTGATGGACTACAATCTTACATTTAGTTAGCAAATTTTTGTTGAAATTATAGTCCATCAAAGGAGTGAGCTTGGAGTGGTGGCTACATCATAACACACACAGGGACCATGGGACAAAAGTAGCCACACTCCAGAAGGAAAGACAGTGTCAGCATGAATTCAGAGATGATTTAAAGTGACACTAAAGTCAATTTTTTTCCCTTACCCCCAATGTTAATGAAAGCTCTTACCTTAAATGATGTTTCTTAATCCGATCTTCTTCTTTCCTGTCGTTCATCTGTCCCTCCAGCACTGCGGCGGGTCTCCGAACCAGAGCTGACTCCTCTGTCCTTGCTGGCACTTCCTGTCCCATGGTGTCTGCATGCGGGTGCACGCGTCCATAGACTTACCTTGTGTCTCTCCTCGTCTCCCAGCCAAAAATGTGAGCTGCGCATGCGACCGCCCCAAAATGCTTTGCGGCCGCCCGAGGATCTTCACATTTTCGGATGGGAGCGCGCAGGGAAGACACAGGTGAGTATTAATCTCTGTTAATGCGTTTTTTTTTTTGTTTTGTTTTTTTACACTTTTTGCATAGATCTACTGCTCGCTAGCAGTAGATCTATGCAAAAAAAAACGGAGGCTTTAATTATCCTTTAAGGATTTACAGCCGAGTGATACACAAAGAAGGTACATTTTTGTTAATAGGTAAGGTACTTGAATGCATTTTTAAGATTTAACTTAAGTTTAGTGTCACTTTAAACAGTTGCAGAAACAGTTTGTGTTTTTTTTGGGGGGGGATAAATGTAACTAAATCAATAAAAGCATGCTAATGTAAGCATCCCTGTCCGTGTTAAATGCTTTGTCTCAACTCTCTCACTGCCACTTTTGCTGGACTGCTTGGTCTGTTAAAGGATGTTAAAAAATGTACTTAATGGCAGGATCAGTGGGTAATAAAACTGTGTTACAGGGAAGAATTTAGAAAAGCAGAGACTGCTGTGTCAATTCCATTGACAGACTGCATCACATCTTTTTTTTTTTTTTTGCCCATAGTTCACTTTAGCTTTTGGAAATGTTACCTCACATCGGTCACTATTTTTATTACTGTGTAATGTTGATTATTTTATTATAGTTACTGTTTTGCATATTTTATTTTTGCAGTCTCCAAAAAATGATTGTAGAACAGGAGAGACTGGAAGGTGTACCTACTAAGTGCTGCAAGAAATCTATCGTGAGACTGGTACAGAAGCTGTCTCAAGAAGGTCTAGTTAGGCTTTATCGTACTATAGTTGTACAGGATGGAATAAGCAAAAAGGTAACTTTGTTATTTTTGTTTAATTTTTTTGATGAAAACTAATAGTAAGAAACAAAATCACAGTTCATAAAAAAAAAAGCAAAACTCCAGTATGTGGTGATTTTATATTTCTTTATCATACATTGAGGACACCGGAATTAAAGTGATATGAAAGTCAAAGGGTTTTTAAGCTACTGTAAAATTCTAATTAAATAGCTTACTATGGATGCTGCTCTCTGTTGTTTAAAAGTGTTACTTACAGAATCAGCTAGTCCTCTGAGCACTGGCCCTGATATCATGCTTTGGGGTGGCTTCTTTCCGTTTCAGGGTCCTATGGAGCCACCCTTGTGTGCTAGTAATTTTGTGTGTGTGTCTCCACAAACACACAGACACAGCAGGGCAAGCCTCTTCCCTGCCCCTGCTCCTCCCTTCTCTCTTCTCCAAATTAGTAGTAGGACAGCTTCCGGAGACTGAGCTGTCCCTTGTCATCTTGTACTAGCCAGGAAGTTCAGGGAAGCTCAGCTAAGAGTTGGAACCAGCTGTTTGGAACATGATTATAAGTGCTTGGGCAAAATCGTAAAGAAATACTTTGCTGTGCAATGTATATTTGTTTGATCTGGATTTATTACTGAAAAAAGTTTGACAGTGTATTATTACTTTAAAGCAGAACTCCAGGCAAATCAGATCTTAACCCTTGAAGTGTGGCCACTGCTACACTGTAAGGGTTAAGTGCTTGTTTTGTCTAGGTAGCTAAAATAACAAAGTTACTCACCTGAACCACAATCCCAGCTGACTACTACACCGCTCCCTCCAGCCCGTCTCTTCCTCCACTCCGGCGATGATATGTTCCTTAGCATCCTTGGGTTCTTTACACTGTATAGAAAGTGATGACTCATAGGACCATAGACCAATGGAACAGAGGTGGAGCGAGGCTGAAGGGATCGGTCTGAGAGCAACCCGGGATTGTGGTTTGGGTGATTATAACTTTATATTGCCTAACAGTGACTAACATTTAGCACACATCATCCCTATCTAAAGTAATACGCACAGCTTTGCTTAGTTGTCGACAATAGAATACAGTAAACCAGATGCTCTTCGTTCATGTGTTTGCACTCCAGATCACAATGCACAGCAAAATACACTCGTTTGAGCTTCCCATTAAAACTCCATGCTGCTTCTTGTGGATAATATAGCACACATTATCACTTCACCCAATACAAAAGGGAACACAAAAAGTCAGTTTTATTCACTAATCAACACTGCACTGACACATATTGAGCAACACAGCAACTTTCAACTACAGTATTGGCTGCAATTCCTAGGTTTCAGTGTGCACAGGGAATGTGCTCTGCAGTAGCTCTTTCTCGTCCAGATGAAACTGGCTTTATGAAAGTTGTATGCACCACATAAGACACAGCAGTTGTGACTGACACCCCCTGAAGCCCACGGGGCATGTCTAAGAGTCTGACAGTCAACAGTTCTTCAGTGAGGCTTGACATTGGCAGACAAGAAGTATGCCTTGTGGCTGTAATGGCTTTCATTGAAAATTCCAGGGGCATACAGTGGGTTGGTGAAGGGGAGTACATGATATAGCAGCACAACTTTCCACCAACAAAGCCAGAAACATATGGTACAAAGACAGATAAGGCTGGAGTGGCATTAGTACACATTATATTTGGGTTGCAGGTTTTTTTTTCCCTTTTTTAATTGCAGCATAATTATTGTGAGAAGAAAATATATCTTTTTAACCATAGTAAATTTACAAAGAGAACATTTTAGCTCTAATATACCCATATTTCATAAACTGTAAGTAGATAAACAAATAGAAAAGGTGAAAATCAAGGTAAACAGAACATTTTTATTTGTAGTTTTAAGAACATTTGAGCAAATAAATACTGTATATAAATATTTTAACATAAATCTGTCATGAGAGAAATACAGGGGACCCCTTCCAAAAATGCAAGTTGACTGGCTTGAAAGGGCATGCATTACGGAAATCCTTACCTGTTTAGTGGTTCCAGGTCTTTGTCTCATCTGAATGATACAAGAGCTTCAGCATGTCAGCCTAACATTTACAGAAAGTGTTCAGCAGTTGTGGCCATCACTGTTTATAGAGTCTGTACAGAATTCCTTACTTTTTCTGTGAAATATACCATATATAGTGTACTTTATTGTGCCTTTTTGGGCTGCAAATCTGCATGCTGTGTGTCCTACTTTAAATTGCATCCTGTCCTAAATGTTTAAATGCTCTCTATAGAGTCTGTATAATGTTTCTAACTGTTATCTCTCAAATATCAAGCTGCTTTCATACACCCCAGTCACTGCTATGTGTAGCTATTTTTGTAGCCAGAACTACCTAAAAAGACTTTTTCACGTTGAAATTACTCAAATGGGGTACTGTTGCTGTATTTAAGTCGAGCTAAATGTCAAAAGGTAAAACATTCAGTTACACATCCATAATATGTGATGCAAAATATGGTGTCACTCATACTGTTTGATAAAATCGTACTGTTCCACAACACCAAATACAGCTTAAAGGAATCTCCCAAGAATGCAATTTAAAGGATTTTTGTTTTGTTCTTCCCATGTCACCCTCAAAGTCGGATATAATTGTACACTGACACAATTTTTGTTATTTTGGCTGTTTACCAAAATACATTCAGTGTTACAGTTAAATAAAGAAGCTAGGCTTAAAGTGCAATCTCTCCAGCTTTAGGTTGAGGGTATACACATCCATATTGGAGGAAGGGTTTAGTAATTACAGCTCTTTAATATGTAGCGCCCTCTTTTTTCAAGGGACCAAAAGTAATTAGACAATTGACTCATGGACAGGTGTGGGCTATTCTATCCTTTCATCATCAGTTAAGCAGGTAAAAAGTCTAGAGTTGATTCCTGATGTGGCATTAGTATTTGGAAGCTGTTGCTGTGAATCCACAACATGCATTGAGAGGAGTTCTCAATGCATGTAAAGCAGGCCATCTTTAGGCTGCAAAAAAAAGAAATCCATCAGAGAGATAGCAGGAACATTAGGAGTGGCCAAATCAACAGTTTAGTACATTCTGAGAAAAAAAAAGAACACACATGAGCTCTTCAACACAAGATGGCCTGGAAGTCCATGGAAAACAACTGGTGGATGATCGTAGGATCCTTTCCATTGTAAAGAAAAACCCCTTCACAACATCCAGCCAAGTGAAGAACACTCTGCAGCAACTAAACATATCATTATCCAAGTCTACCATAAAAAGAAGACATCACAAGAGCAAATACAGAGGGTTCTCCACAAGGTGCAAGCCATTCATAACCCTCAATAATAGAAAGGCCAGATTAGACTTTGCCGAAAAATATCTAAAAAAGCCAGCCCGGGGGCGTGGCCAGCAGCCGCATGTAGTAGGACGTGTCCCGGAGAGCTCTCTCACCATTCATCCTGGAAGTAACCTGTTTGGGCTTACCCACATCCTTGTGCAAACCTCCGGTGGACTGCCTAAGTGTCGTGAACCCGGTGATCTGTTCCTGTGGGCAGCGGAACCGTGATTTGACATAGGGAGATGTCTAAAAAGGACAGTAAAGGCCTCGCATCGGCGCTCCAAGATGGCGGCGGCGGCTCGCATCCTGTACTTCCCACCCCCAGTAAGCAAACGGGGGACAGGAACAGGGATGCTGCGGTGAGACTGGAACGCTTCGCCCGACATCCGGACACACCGGCCAAGGCACGCCGACTCTCCTATTCCGCAGACCGAGCGTCTGGGAGGGATATGGGGCCGGATTCCTCACACTTCTCTGACTCTGTGGACCCGGATGCTACCGCAGTGACTGTGAGTACAGTGCCTAGAGCTCTTAAGGGCCCCAAGGCATCTAAGACCAAAACTAAGCCGACTGAGCCTACCATCTCTGATGTTTTCTCAGCTGTACAGCTTTGCAACACTGCGCTGACATCTCTCACAGATCAGGTGCAGGGGATGAGGGCTGACACATCCTTCATGCGCCATGATCTGCAGAAAGTGCGGGACCGCACTTCTGCCCTGGAAGGCAGGGTGAGTGGGCTGGAAGACACTACGACCCCACTGATCTCTGATGTTAAGACGGCATTGCATGATATTTCTGCTTACACCCTGAAAATGGATGATGTGGAGAACAGGCTGCGCCGAAACAACATCCGTGCGGTCGGCATTCCGGAACGCACGGAAGGGGCAAATGCCACTGATTACATGGAATCCTGGCTCTGTGAAGTATTTGGGAACACTTACCTGTCCCCTCTGTTTGCTGTGGAAAGAGCTCACAGGGTTCCGTCTCGCCCTTTACCACCTGGAAACCCGCCTAGGCCAATGCTGATTCGGCTTCTGAATTATCGGGACAAGGAACGCATCCTGCGGAAGGCACGGGATTTGGGGGAAATCTCTCTGGCCGGCTCCAAGATTATGTTATTCCCTGACTTCTCTCAAGAGGTGCAACTCCAAATTCCTAGATGTCAAGAAGCGTCTCCAACATCTCCACCTGTCCTACTCTATGATCTATCCTGCAAGGCTCCGTGTGATCGCCGATGGAGAAACCCACTTTTTTGACGTCCCCTCCCAAGCTTCATCCTGGCTGGATAAATTTGACCGCCGTCGGGCCTCATCGGCCACTTAAGGGCCTGGCCACCCACACGGAGTGGTTTTTCTTTCTCTACTTCACAGTATGGTAACCCACCTCATCTAGCTGTGCGTGGGAGATGACCTCTCCACCTTTTTATGTTGTTGGCTCTGCCGCATTGGAAGGAGTCCCTATGATGTTTTGGTTCTGTTATGGGATACATACGATGGATGTTATGGCCTGTTGCCATCTTCCCCCGAAGGTTTCCCTGCGTGGACGATCCCACCCTGGGGTTTTGCTTTTTGTTTAAGCTGTACTACATTATGACTTTGTTCCTGAAACTCTACCTTTTTTTCTTTTCTCTATTTTTGTTGCTCCATATGCTCTGGATGTTCTTTCGATGAGAACTGCTGTACCTAGCCATGCTCACTAGAGGCTTCTGTGGACTGGTCTCGATGAGCCCTACTATGGTTCACTTCTGCCTGTTGCCAGATGTTATGCATTGCCTATGTCTGATCACCTAGTGACACTGGTCTCCTGGAATGTGAGGGGGTTGGGGGATGCAGCGAAACGGCGCTCTGTTTTCGGTTGTATTATGCGGGTTAAACCCTCTGTTATCTGCCTGCAGGAGACACATCTGACCAAGGACACCTCTGGTGCCCTGAGCAGACGCTTTTGTCAAACCACGTATCACTCCTGCTACTCCTCGTACTCCAGGGGAGTCTCAATTCTCATTCATAAGAATTTGCCGTTCTCCTGCACGCAGATTAAAGTAGACGAAGCGGGGCGCTATGTATTTCATCACTGTCACATTTTAGAGCTAACCTGTGTAATTGCCTCCATTTATATCCCACCGCCATTCTCCAATGCTGTGCTCAAAGACCTAGCTCACTTCCTGGCGGATAAACTGCCGATTCCGGTCCTTGTGGTGGGTGACTTCAACGGTGTCCTGAACTCAAGTCTTGATAGGTTCCCCCATAATTCAGCTAGGGATCAAACCCCTGACACCCCTCTCAGCAGACTCTGCACAGAAATGGGACTGGTGGATTTGTGGTGCCTAACTCACCCCAGGGATCTGCAATATACTTGCCACTCCAAGTCTCATAACTCCCTTTCACGAATCGATCTAGCCTTGGGCCCGCCCGAAATGCTTACGCATGTCAATTTAGTAGAAATTCACCCGAGATGTCTCTCTGACCACTCCATGTTGTCCGTCCGGATACGCTTGGGTAGACGCTGGTCCACACTCCCCTGGCGACTACACCCGTTTTGGTTGACGCTATTTCAAGATCACGCAGCATTGGAGAATGACGTTCGATTTTTCTTGTCGGTCAATGCCCCTTCCTCGCCTGTCGGTGTGGTATGGGACACCTTGAAAGCTAAGGGGAATCTTCATTAAAAATGTTAGCTCCATTAAGTCTAAAACTAGAAGGGGACTGGATCAGGCTTGTCAGCGAGTGGCCGACAGCGAACGGGCGTTTGTACACGCCCCCACAGCAGAGGCTGAGGCTGACTGGTTGACAGCGCAGAGTTCCCTTGATGCCCTATTGGAGGAACAGTCCCAAAATAAACTATTCTTCACCAAGCGGGTATTTTGGGCGGAGGGAGATGCTGCAGGTAAACTGCTGGCCCAGATAGCTAGGGCTCAGCAACCCTCAAGCTATATCGGAGCCATCTCTGACTCTGCGGGGGTTACGCACTCAAGCCAGGACAAGGTGTCGGCCATTTTCCGAGACTTCTATGCCTCATTGTACCAAACAACAAGGGCTGGATACTCTGAAACCGAGCTTTTGGCCTATTTGAGTGGTATTTCCCTCCCTCCCCTCTCACTGGCTGATGGCTTGCAACTGGAGGCCCCTATCACTCTGGAGGAGCTGGAAATCGCCCTAACTAGCTTTCCTACTGGCAAGGCCCCTGGTCCGGATGGACTGCCTATTGAGGTATATAAATCCTATCCTACGGCCCTTCTTCCCAACCTCCTAGAGGTTTATAATGACGCCTTCTCCATAGGTCATTTACCCGATACGATGTATGAGGCCACCATAGTTGTGATACCCCAAAAAAATAAAAACCCGCTGGTACCGGAAGCATACAGGCCTATTTCCCTTTTGAACACCGATCTTAAGATTCTGGCTAAAGTGCTTGCCAATAGACTATCACATAAAATTACTTTGGTGGTTCATTCCGATCAATCCGGCTTCATGCCCAACAAATCCACGGCCATTAATATCCGCAGGGTGTTCCTGAACATGCAGGTCCCTGTGAACAACTCGGGCGGCAGGGCTCTACTCGCTTTGGACATTGCAAAGGCGTTTGACAGTGTTGAATGGCGGTACTTGTGGGCCGTTCTGTCAGCCTTTGGCTTTGGCCCAAACTTTTGCAAATGGGTGCGCTTACTGTACTGCCGCCCCTCTGCGAGAATTAAAATTAACGACTCCCTGTCTTCTGCCTTTGCTTTGCAGAGGGGCACCAGACAGGGATGCCCGCTGTCGCCTTTGTTGTTTGCCCTAGCCATTGAACCTCTTGCGGCACTGGTCAGGCGCTCTGCGGATGTGATAGGCTTTAGGAGGGGCTTGCAGGAGGAAAAAATTGCCCTATATGCGGACGATACTCTGTTGTTCTTAGCGGACACGGAGGCGTCCTTGTCTAATGTCATGTCTCTGCTGTCGGAATTTGCCACGTACTCCGGACTGGTTGTTAACTGGGACAAGTCCAACCTCCTCCCTCTGGATTCACTACGCGCCCCATTGGCTGCGAATGCGGCGCACTTACAGGTGAAGACCACTATCACCTACCTTGGTATCCAAATGACTGCCTTCCCCGGGGATTACCTTACTCTGAACCTACACCCCCTTTTGACTAGATTTAAATCTCAACGTAATTCATGGGCCAAATTACCGCTGTCGGTGGCTGGAAGGGTAAACTTAATTAAAATGATCTGGATGCCTCAGTTGCTATATGTCCTCCATAATTCTCCTCTTTGGATTCCTAAAAAGACCTTCCGCTTAATTGACTGTATTTTTAGGGAACTGGTCTGGAAGATGAAACCTCCAAGATTGCGGCTTGATGTCCTCCAGCGACCCAAGGTTTCGGGAGGGCTGACCCTCCCCAATCCCTGGATCTTCTTCCTGGCTGCTCAACTACAACACTTTACAGCCTGGGCAGTTGAGGACCATCAATCCCAATCGTTTCTTATGCTACTATATTTGTTTCAAGGACTGAGCCCCTTACATTACTTGGACAGTGACCTGTACGTTAAGACTCATTCTACCCTCCCTACTGTGCGGTTGATGGGGCAGGTCTGGGAGGCGGCCAAAACGGTGATGGGTATTTCTACCCTCACTAGATATACTCCGTTGTGGCGGAACGGTCGCCTTCCGGAGCTTCTCCCACTCCGGGGCATTGTGAACTGGTCTACAAGAGGGGTGATATCAGTTTCCCAGTTATATCAGGAGGGTACACTGTGTGACTTCCAACACTTAGTGGACACGCACGGCCTCTCCGGTAGGTGGTACTTCCAGTTCCTCCAGGTGGCACACGACCTAAGGTCCCAATTTTCAGGGAGTCCCCCAGTGATCTCGCCCACCCCGGTACTTGACACGGTACTGTTGGCCGCTGACACCAAAGGGATTATCTCCTTCCTGTATGCTCATTTGTTAAGTTGCCTGCTCTTCTCCCTCTACGGTGCAGAGAGAGTTGGGAGGGTGATGTGGGCCCCATGTCGGATGACACTTGGGAAGATGTCCTACAGGGGGTCACGCAGGTCTCACTATCCCCTACGCACAGGCTGACTCAACTGTTCATTGTTCACAGAACGTATCGCACCCCTGAGTTTTTGTTTCGCATAGGATTGAGGGCTGACTCCAATTGTCCCAAGTGTGGCTTTAGACGTGGCTCCCTGATACGCCTACTATGGAGATGCCCGAAATTGGTCCTGTACTGGGATAAGGTCATAAACACTCTCAATCATGTGTTTGCATCCTCCCTATCTAATTCACCATTGGTGTGCGTCCTTGGTATAGTGGAGGACACGGACCTCACTCAACACACAGTCCTGGCCCTTAAACGCGCACTATTCACTGCTACCAGGCTAGTGGTCCATAAGTGGATATCCTCCTCCCCACCTACACTGAAGCTGTGGCATGCGGAATTGGATAGGATCATTGCATATGAGCGTATCACCTTTCAACAACGGGGCACCCTGACATGGTTTCACTCCCTTTGGGATAACTGGTTGACATACCGTGGGCAGGACACCTCTGTGTAGCTGGCTTCCACGTACCTCTCCTAGCGTTCCCTGATGTATGACAAAGTAATGGGGCTCAGACCTCTATGACTTTTGAATACGAGGTGGAAGGAAGGATATATGTGGGTGTATGTTGCGATGTTTATGTAGTGGGTTCAGGAGGCTTCTACAAAAATCGATATTTAAGGTACTCTGTAATTGGTGGGCAGTATGTTCTTGTCGAGTTTGATTCGTACGGATATGGATATTTCTTTTCTTTTCCTTGTTGCTTTTGTTTCTGCATATGTGTTTTTTTTTTTTTGTATTTTCTACTATGTAAAATTGAATAAAAACTATCTGATTTAAAAAAAAGCCAGCCCAGTTCTGGAACAGCATTCTTTGGACAGATGAAACCAAGATCAACCTGTACCAGAATGATGGGAAGAAAAAAGTGTGGAGAAGGCTTGGAACGGCTCATGATCTGAAGCATACACATCATCTGTAAAACACAGTGGAGGCAGTGTGATGACATGGGCCTGCATGACTTCCAATGGCACTGGGTCATTAGTGTTCATTGATGATGTGACAGAAGCAGTTAGATGAATTATGAAGTTTATAGGGATAAGTGGTCTGCTAATTGATTGGACGATGCTTCACTTTACAGATGGACAGTTACCCAAAGCATACTGTGAAAGCAACCCAGGCGTTTTTAAGGCAAACAAATGGAATGTTCTGCAATGGCCGAGTCAATCAACTTAGCTCAACCCTATTGAGCATGCATTTCACTTACTGAAGACCAAAACAGGGCAGAAAGACCCACAAACAAACCACTGAAGACAGCTGCAGTAAAGACCTGGCAAAACATCACAAATTAGGAAACCCAGAGTTTTGTGATGTCCATGCATTCCAGACTTCAAGCAGTCGTTGCCAGCAAAGGATTCTCAACAAAGTATTGTAATGAAAATGTTATTTATGATTGTGTTAATTTGTTCAATTACATTTGAGTCCTTGTGGAGTGGACTTTATAAAAATGGTTGCAGTTCCTAAATGTTTCATATGATATTTTTGTTCAACACCCTTAAATTAAAAATAAAAGTCTGCACAATTGCATCTCGGTTGTTTCATTTTAAATTATATAATATATATTTTTTAATAAAAGTAGTTAACTTAGCCTTGTGCTACATTAACATTTTATAGTCTATCTCATTTTTACTTTTTAACAGGTGGAATTTGTGGTTCATCCATCAATTAATCCAAGTGATCCTTTGGTTAAAAGCACTGTTGAACAAATTCGTTTTCGCATGTCAAATTCTACTTCAGGGAACCGGTAAGTAAGAGGGTAAAGCACATAACACTTCAGCTAAAAGCTGTCATATTTAAATTCTTCATTGTAGTTTCATTCTATTATGTTATCTACTGTCTTTTGTTGTGCTCAGAGCACGCTTGCCTCACAGTGCGTCCACTCCTGGTAAGGCTGAACCTGATGAACAAAACAAAGAAAACAAAGGAGAAAAACACAAGACCTCTCTCTTCCTGGGTGACAGTGCTAAAGATGTGCTTGGAGGCCAAGATTCAATGGATGTGAAACAGTTAAAAAATTATCATCCAATTATAGGTATGTGCAAAGATTTTCATTATTTATGCGGACGCTTTTCCAATACATTGTAAAGTTATGCAAAACAATTATTTTGTTCCTAATTTGCTTAGTTTTCTCCCAGTTTAGTTAAGTTTTATACTGTCAGACTATCCATATTTTACAGGGTTAGTGTCTCCCTGTAGCCATTATTTCTACCCTTTTTAAGGGGAAACTTCATCTTTTAGAAAAAGTAATAAATACACACTTCTTCATAAAAGAAACAATGTGCATTGTTTGCATTGGAGCCAGTAAAGCATTGCAACCACCTCTGCTGTTCTGGTTGAGCTTTAGCGACCATCTGGTTGAGCTTTATGTCAAAAAATATTTTTTTTTGTGCACGGATACTGATTTTGGTGTGTTTTAACAATTGAATTGTGTATTTTTATCGGTTTAATATTAATTTGAGAAACATTTGCGCAATTATCGCAGGGCCTACAAATTTAGTATCACCATCTTTTTATTCTACCGAGCCTGCGCTTTCAGAAAATATATGGTTTGGGGGGTCTTTTACAAACGCTAGCAACGCAGCAGTTGAAAATCAAATCAATAGGAAAAAATTGCAGAAAATTCAAAAATGGCTTGGCCAGCTGATTTGAAAAATGTTCCGGAGGGCTTGGCAGCGAAAGGGTTAAGTAAAGAGTAGTGTGGAGCATAGGTGTCGTTAAATAGTGGACCATGAGGTGCAAATTCATGTCAATGGCTTCTGAATAATCTCAAACACCCTTTTTAGTTATGGGAGGTGAACTTTTGCAATTTGGAATTTTCCTGTTGTCCAGCAATCTCAGCCATAATTCCAGGACGAATTTGTCATAGGAGAGTTGGTGGCATAGATGTCCCGGTTAAGAGGCTTAGCAGAAAGAGCCCACAGTTGTGCTGACTCAGGGATTGGAATCCTCAGGCATTAAACACAGCGTAACACAGAGTTAGGCTAGTTGTTCCTTTCCGCAGTTCAAACACAAAATGGCCATAAAAAAACTTAAATCTCCCCAGATGAAATGATGAAAATTAAATTTAGCAAAGGACCCTATGTCTGTGTTAGTTTTCCTCACTCACTGACCCAGGGACAATAGTTTTACCAGATAACAGGTGAGGGAAAATCTCCAACATAACTCCAGTAAAACACAACAGGGGCTCTAATGCTGGATTCGCACCTAGGCGTATCGAATATGCGAATATATAAAAAAACGCACGCCAAACGCGCGTTTCCGAGGGCTACTTGGCTGTATCCCAATGGAAACGCGTGACAAAAACGCCCCAAAGAAGCTCCTGTACTTCGGCGTAGGACTTTTTGTAGCGCGTTCATACGGCCTGTAATATGCCCAGGTGTGAACCATATCCATAGGAAATAATGGGACTTCGGTGTTTGAGCATTTTGCAGAGCGTTCGAACGCGCTACAAAACGCCCAGATGTGAACGGGGCCTAGCTGTTTGGACATACAATTTTAAGAGTTGTATTTCTAAACAATTTGCAGAGCCTTTCACCCTGGAAATAATGCATGTACACTTGTACTGTGCGAATAAAGGCAAAAACTAATGTTGCTAGCATATTTACATTTTCTGGTTGAATGTAATATAAGGTAAATACCACATTATGGCAAATACATGAAGCTAAGGAGCATAAGAGAAATTAGTCCTCCTGACCTTTTACTTTTGTTTGCATTTCATAGATGAACATGTTTTGTAGGCTTATAAAGTTATATAATATTTTTTTTCCCCCACAGTTCCTGGACTTGGCCGTACTCTTGGCTATCTTCCAAAAATGCCACGCTTGAAAATAACACATATCTATCTCTGGTATATTGTCTATGGTCACCCCATGCATACATTGCCGCAGCAGAAAACACCAGAGAGCAAGCCACCTTCTGGTAACACTCAAGATAAAAAGTGTGAGGATGACATGCCGCCATCTTGCCACCTTACAGACAGCTGTTCTAATACAGAGGATGTTTTAGGCCCTGAGGTTGAAAAGTGTATTACAGCTGATAATACAGAAGAAAGTACATCAAACACAGCAAAAGAAGAAAAAACTGAATCTGGTACTTTATTTTAATTATTGTGTGGTAAATTTTGTACAGGCTTATCTTATTCATGGGAACTTATTTCAGTTTGTGGTATTCTTCACACCCAGTGTAGTAGGTAGGGGTGCACTGATGCCGATACTTGTACTCGCCAAAATGTTGCAATAACTTCCCGGATACCCGAAGCTCCGGTATGATGCTGATTGCTCAGGAAATCCGCTTCTCAGGAAGCCAGGCGGCGGGTAAACATATTCCGCCCAGCTTCCTGATTGCCCGGGAAGCCGGCTCCATGCCAGCCGAAGCATTGGTTTCTCTACTCGGTATCGGCCAGTACCGAAAACAAAGTATCGGTACTCGAACTCTATACCGAAAAAACGATATTGGTGCATCCCTAGTAGTAGGGAATCATCATTTCTATATTGTTAATTAGGAGTCACAGGGTTAATTCTAAAATGAGAGTTATACTGGTACCTACAGCAAATTGGACACCAGCAACAAAGATATATTTTTATGCTTGTGACTAAGGTGAATGGACATCTCCGAGAGAAGCCATACCCTTTCTACAAGACTAGTTCTGTCAAGATCCCCTTGTTATGAAAATTAAGATCCTTAATTTACTGCAGAGCCAAAGAGCTTATTTCTGCATTTTTAAGTTTTCCTTAGCATAGTCCTAGAGGCCGTACCCGTGCCATATCATGCCAAAAATGTAGATCCAGCCTATAATGTAACCATAGGGCACTGGCCTGGCCTGCTGTGGGCACTCTCCAAAGACACCTGGTATTCTGTGTGAGTCAGCCACAGAGAATGCTTTACAGGTCCAGGACAGCAGTACACCTGCTGGTGAAACCCTGTCCCTGCTGACTCCTTAGGGAGTATGCCCACTGGAGGGAACAAACACTGCCTTGGTGAGGCATGTTCCCCTGGAGACTGCCTGGTATTCTCTAGTTAGTCTGCACTGTGGGGGCCACCGGGCATCTTCTGAATCACCGCTTAAGTAAGTTAAAGGCCTTGCCCTTTATAGGAGCTTGGTGCGCACTTGACACTTTTTTTCCAACCTCTGCAGGTGTTAATTAAAGTTGATTTCTAACCTTTTCCGGAGCTTTTATTCTGTGGACACATGACCGCACAGCCTTCCTCTAGGTGTCTCTTCCGCATAATGGGGGCCATGTAAGTTGTCTGTGGACAGGCATGATGTAACACACAACAAGTATTCTACTTCTCCGTGTGTATCATGCATTCTATATGATTCCTTTTCACATGATTTCCTTTTCATGCTGGTGCTCGCAGCTCTTCTTCAGTTGGGTTGAAAATTGGTTGCAATTGGCCAGATTGGACAAAAGAAGAGGAGCATCTGAAGCCAGTACCAGTATGGAACCACAGAAAGGAAACCTTCAGAATGCATAATGAACACACGGGGAAGAACACAGGCTGTTTGGGTGGTATTCCGATGAACTGACCAAAGTAGATACAGCCACAATGTGCATTGGCATGGTGTCTGGCATCTCCAAAGAAGAAACAAAAGACACAAACTGACCACTCCGGCATGGATCTGCTTCTGTGTTTGGCGTGGTCAGAATGAAAAGGGGAGGTATTTCTATAAAAATGAAGCGGTGAAACGCAAGCAGGCTACATTTCCAAAAGACAAAATTACGGAACAGACACATGTATCTAATATTATTTTTTGAGTTAACATCCTCTCTAACACTGAAGCTCTGGCCACAACAATTTTATGGATGCAGGAATGGGGCACTGTGCTATAATGAATTTGGCACCTAGGATCAGCTTTTCTTTGTCTGCATGAGCCATTGTGAAATTGGTGCCAACACCTGTTTTGCTGAGTCCACACAGGCCTTTCTTGTGTCTTTGCACTGCACATGCACGCGCCACTTCCTACCCGTGCCCTTTCTGCCTTCCTGCCCTATCCTAAGCCACACCAATGCAATGATCCTCGCAGTTTCCTCAATTCTCCCTGCATGACCTCCTCCTCTGCATTGTCTAGTGTTGAATTTTCTGGACTTGGAACACAGGGGACACAATGGTGTATCCTTATGCTTTCTTTCAGAGGCTGTCTTTGATTTGCCTGCAGCTACTTCAGTGCACTCAGTTGAGGAAGAGGAGGAATGTATCCTGTCTTTTTTTTTTTTTACATGAATTTGTGCCTAAAGGGTCTACTGGCATTACTCCTAGTCTTAAGAATACTATTTTGGTCCTTATTGACACAGTGTATACCTGTTAAGCTAGAGCAATCTGGGTCTGAACTTTATATAGCAACAGTCTGGGCTCCTTCAAAAGTCCCCAGCCTGTCAAAACCTTCCCAGTACACTCTACTAAAATCAATTTTGTACGGTAACTGGAGTAATCTGGATATGTTCACTCCCCCCAATCGTTTTGCTCAGTGGTACCCTTTTGAAAAGGAATTTTTTAAGAAGTGGGCTGTTCCATTTGTGGACCCAGACATTTCCTGTCTTAGCAAGACTCTTACAGTCCTTGTTGAGGACATCCCAGTATTTTAAAAACTCTGGCGAAAACACTGAACACCATTTCTAAGGACTTGTTTTCCGTCAGGCCTTGTAGGATATGTCTAGGGATCCCGTATTATATCCTTACTGATGCCTGTGTTCTCCAGCAATTAGCGCTTTTGACTGTAACCCTGTACTACTCCTTTGACGGCCTTGCAGGATATCATACACTTGATATCTAGAATGGGTTTCCTATCCATGCATAGAACTCTGGCTCAAATGCTTATCTGCCAAACATCAGTGAAAAAACACTTATTTCATATGCCTTTTGATGACGAGCACTTTTTTGGTGCCTCTCTGGACAACTATTTTAATGATGTAGTGGGGGGAGGGGGAAGAGCCCCCTTTTGCCTCACCAAACAAAGCTAAACTTCAGACAGTAAAGTCTTCTACCTCTGAAGTTAGGATGAGTTCCTTTCACTTCTCCCTATCCTCTATGCCCAAGTCCATGCCTGGGACACATTTCTACCTTAAGCCATGGAATGCCAAAGTCTCCAAGCCTGCAAACAAGTTCTCCTCACAAGGAGGGTATGCCCCCAATTTTCAAGGTGCAGGACATCTGTTGTCATTTGCAGCTACCTGGTCCAAAAGCATTTAGGACACCTGGACAAAAGGATGTAGTGTCCAGAGGATACAAGCTTAAATCTCAAGCTGTACCTCTGGCCCACTTCAAGTTGTCCAACCTGCCATCCCTTCAAAGATTAGCAGATATTCAAGCTTTTGACACAACTTCTCTTTTATGGAGTCATTGCTGCAGTTCTGGAAAGAAAGGTTTTAAAGATTTTTTTTATCAGTCCGGTTTACTGTCCCCAAAGTATTCTCCCCATTCTGGAGTTAAAGGCTATCAGTATCTTCATCTGAGCACACAAATTTTGTATCAGATCAGTCATACAGTATCTTTCCTCCACCCAGCGGTTCCTTGTCTTTGGTCTGACAGAGTCCACAAAATGCTGTGCGTTGTCAGCATAAAACAGAACTTAGGAGCTCAGTACATTTCAGGAGATAAAGGGATGAATAAATAATCAATAATACAGTCAGAGGCTTGACTATTGTTTGAAATTTCGTTTTATTGTTATACCGTCAGAGGCTTGACTATTCAATAATACCGTCAGAGGCTTGACTATTGATGTTCGAAATTTCGTTTTATTGTTTTTATTTAACATTAGATTTTGGAATAAATTACATTTTCCAAATGAAAACCACATTCACTGTTCGAATTTCCTTCAATTGAGAAAAGCTTTCCAACATGCTCCTTTTTGAATTTTTCCATCCCTGCAGTCGAAATTTCACCGCATCAACGATTAGAAAGTCGAACGAACATTTCGAAATCGATTAAGTTTGAAATTTTAACTGTGTGAACCCTACTTACAAGAGAACTATGGGGTAAGTGTTTTTTCCCATAGTTCTCTTTAGGGTCACGGGAGGACATATACTAACCTCCTCCCGTGACCCAAAGCTCAGTATATAGTGTGCTATTACCCGCAATATACTAAGAGCAATGCAGCCGGGATGGATCACGATAATACTGTCGAGATCCACCCAGCTGAGTGAGTGACAACTGGCTCTGCCTAGCTAGAGGCACAACCAGCTGTGCCCGCCCTCTCACCCGTTCGTTCCTCCACTCGGCGCTGGAGGATCGAGCAGGGGAGGGGGGGAATCCCTGCAGTGACTGATGGTCATCGCTCACTGCAGGGAGACAATTGGGAAGTGAGCTGATCGGCGGCATGTTTCTGCTCACTTCCCGATCAATAGAGCCGACCTGTTACAGCTTCTTTGTCACAGGTCAGCTTTAACTATGAGGATGAATGGAAATCACTCACCTCATAGTTCTTTAAGTATAAGTGTCTTAAGTGTAAGGTCCATTTGGAATATGGGATGCTCTGCGCCCCCTCAATGTATGTCAAAATAATTACTAAAAATATATGTAACCACTGCTTTCTTTTTATTTAGTATATGTTGAAGAAGAGTCTTGGATAAGGTGTGTGCCTCCTGCCTCCCTCCACTGTGACTTTGGACCTGGTTGGGTTGTTGTTAGTGACATCCTACTCTGTTTGCCCCTTTCCATCTTCATACAAATAGTTCAAGTCAGTTACAAGGTAATATATTTGTTAACATTTATTATGATTATACTTTGTGTAATAGGCCAAACAGCAGTAATATATTCAAGATAAAAATAAAATATTTATACAACATTCCAGAATTATTTTCCTCTACTGGAACACCCTCAACCACTATCGCATTGTGGGTTTTGTTTTTTTTTCAATTTGTTGATACTTTAAAGCGTGCAGTCTAATGGCTATTCCAACAGCAGTTAAATAATTTTACTCCATTATTGTTTTATCCTCTGCATTTTACTTAACTCTGTATGTTTTAGGTTGACAACCTTGAGGATTATTTAAATGATCCTATAAAAAAGCACACCTTAATCAGACATCTACCAAGACCAATGCGTCAACAGCTGCTGTACAAAAGGTATGTCCTAATATTTGATCTTACCTTTCATTATTCAACTAGTACTATCTGACATGGAATCTAGGCCATTCAGGCAATTCATTTAGAGTATATAATGGAAGTGTGCACAAGTAAAAAGCAGATTTTAAAGCTGAAGTGGGAGGGGTGGGCCCAGCTACTATTTGGTTATTACTGCACACACCGAGCAAATGTTGGCTGCCAAAAAGGTACTGGGTTTAGTAAACGGTTTCACCATTAATGCCAGACTTTTCCCCCCACAGGCGATATGTTTTCTCAGTGTTTCAGGGGCTTCAGAAACTGAGTTGTATGGGTTTGGTGCAGTTTGGTCCAACTGAAAAATTTCAAGAAAAAGATCAGGTAAAGTATGTTTCTTATTTCTGGAAAACAGATGGAGATGCAGAAGTGAGCATGATAGTTGGAGATGCAGAAGTGAGGGAGCATGGAGCCAGCTTCCCGCCCAATCAGAAAGTCAGGAGGCGTGTAATGACTCGCCGCCCGGCTTCCCGATACAGGAAGTTCCATTATCAGGATACGTATTGGGAGCATTTGGGTGAGTATGAGTACTTGCCCAAATACTCCATATCGGCACCAATACCAAAACTAGTATCAGTATTGGTGCATCCCTCATTAATTTTTTTTCAAAAAAGCAGACTATGCCTTTAAAGATCAAATTGTTAGTTAATTTTGCTTTCATTAAACAATAGAGCATTTCTTTTTTTATCCACTACAGATATTTGTGTATGTGAAAAAAAATGCAACAATTGTTGATACAACTGCATGTGACCCTCATTACAATTTAGCCCATGCAAACCTTCCTTTTGAAAAGCGTTCTTATCGTTTGGAAACCATTCAAGATGTGGAGAATTTTTGGTTTGATTTGCAATTTGTTTGTCTGAATACACCTTTGGGTAAGCAGCGTTTTTAGTATATTTTAACAAAATTCGGTCAATCTTTTACTGGTCATATTTATTGTTCATTAATATATACAACATAAATACTGTTTATTTTTAGAGGAAAACATCTGTATTATACAATGGCTAATGCACTGATAAATACCTGACAACTTAAATCAGACCTTGCAATAAAAATGCAAGGCCTCACAGCCGCCACTGGCCCTCCCATTACTATTTATACCCCATGTTTCATACCTCAGATCAAGTGACCTATTGCAGGAGACACAGCCTAAGCGGCTGCCTTTTAACCCCTTCATGACTGAGGCCCTTTTTTCATTTTTTGCACCCATGTTATATTCCACATTTTAGGCCTGAAAATGACGTAAAACCCCCCAACATTATATATTTTCTGAATGCCAAGACCCTATAGAATAAAATGGTGGTAGTTGAAAATTTTTATGTTGCGCAATATTAGCGCAACTCCTTATTAAACCCCAAAATTTAGTGACAAATTTAATGCCCCGGTGGGGGGGGGGGGCGGCCCCTTCTTCGGGACGCAGAAGCGATCTGGCAACAGGTAAGTCGCCAGGATCGCTTCTGTTGTAAAGCCGACGGTCGGCTCTACAAGTTTAAACAGACTCCCGGCGGCAAAAGTCGCCGGGAGTCTGTTTAAACAGCCCCGATGCTGGCGACGTACACTGTACGTCGTCAGTCACGAAGGGGTTAAACCAGCTTGGTTACTCCAATACCGTACTTGTGCAGCTTTTCCTCCATTGGCTGTTATAGAAACTGTCAGTTGCAAGCCTTTCTCCTGAACTCGCTTACAGCCAGCCAGAGCTTTTCAACAAATCTCCTTCTTATTTTTCCTTCACTAGATTACCAGGACAGCAGGTAGTAGATGTTGCTATGTGCTTCAAATACCTCCATTCCAAACAGCCATCCTTCCAAACCCAGGCTGGCATATGGTAGTGCTTGGCTTTTAGCTGCTCAGTTCCTTACCATTACCCTTCACTGGAACTTCAACAACCCAGCCCAGAAACAAAATTTCTCAGTGGTTGTCATACCTCCTCATTTATAAATCTTTTTTTTTTGCAGAAATAGTGTTTTATTAAATTTTCACAAATATCAAAATAAACAGCATACAAAGTAAAACAACACTCATTTATAAATCTTAATGATGCAACCCCCTGTACCAATCAGCTGTGTCTGATAGAAAATAAGATTAATGAAGTTTATGGAAACCTAACACTTCCAGAAAATTCCCTGCACAGCATGAGTATAGCTCATAAACCCTAGCAGAAATAAAAGTGCAGAAAGTGAAATCGGTGAAAGAATATGTAAATTCCTAGTAGGAAAAAAATGTATAGAAATGAAAGACTGAAAGAGGCAACAGTACATTTTTACATATCCAACATACAGTAAGTTAAACTTGAACCAGTCCTGTCAATGCAACAAAACATCAGTTAACCTGGACCAAAAAGGCTACAAATGATAGGTATTCTTTGATTACCCTAATCCTACTACTGACTTATTTAAGTTACAGCAGGAGAATATGGCACATAATTCTGTGTACTGTTTAACTGTTTAGGTGCGTTAATTGCACTATACCATTCCCCAGTGATCTGCAGAACACGAAAAGCATCCTACTCCTAAACAGCAGTACACCAAACATTTGAGACAGTTGCATTTTAACTCTGCCACATTTTTTTTTAAATGACTCATTTTATTTTTAACCCTGTGTTAGATTGCTAATATATATGCTTTTTTATTTTTATTTTGTAGGAGTTGTACGCAACTCTCGTGGGAAGAAACTAAATAAGGATAATGTGCCAGGACAAGATATCGATGCAGAATCTGAAGAACAACAGAATCTGGAGAGAAAGTGTAACATTCTAGAGAGTGTCATGTATGTACCATTTTCTCGAACATGTTTTGATCAAAATATTTGGGCTCTGAATGTTTCTCTCAAATTGAATTTGACATTGAAGTAGGGATGTTCAGATGCCAAGTACCGTACTTGGTACAAGTACTGATACTTTTCCAGCTCCAAGACTAGACTATAAAAAAGCTCAAAAGTTAAGAGGCAACTGTCATTTTTATGGAGCATTGGCTTCGGGGCTCCAGAGATTTGTGCGATTTTTTAATGTACAATTTGTGTATATCATTGATACATACATACAGTCATGGCCAAAAATATTGGCACCACTTTGCGCAGAAAATTGTTGCAATTACAAATGTTCAGGCATTTTCATCTTCATTTCTTTTGTTTGTATTGGTATGACACAAAAAAGTGGAGAAAGAAAAAAGCCAAATGTTCCACGCAAAACTGGACTGGACAAAATTATTGGCACCTTCTCCAAATTGGAAGAAATAATTGCATTCCAAGTTTTTGTGGAAAAGCATGGACAATCTCAAGGGTACCAGTCCATCTCCCGAGAGATGTCGAGAACCACCCAGCTGGCTGAATGACAGCGGGCTCTGCGTTTTCTAGAGGCAGAGCCAGCCCCTCCCCCATCAGTTCCTCCAGTCAGCGCTGGAGAGAGGAAGGGGGAATCCCTGCGGGGCGTGGTGACGGACAATCACCCTTCTCTACAGGGAGATGATCAGGTAGTGAACGAACAACGGTATGCGTTTGCTCACTTCCCAATTTCATTGTCACACGTCGGCTCTAACTATGGGGATGAGTGTAAGTCACTCATCTCTGGAGTTTACAAAATGTGTCTTCCACTCTCCTTCGCATTCTCCAGCTATAAAAAACCTTACAGAGGTTGTAAGCTTCACAACTTGTTCAAAATTTTAAAAAAATTATTATAATTCTGTGTACCCATTGGAGAGATTCAGCTCACTTCCAGCAATTAAACCATTTCAACTCTATACAGAACTTAAAAATTAAATGAGCTTAAACAATGTGGACATCAGATGGATGGCTGATGTCCTCATCTTCCCAGCTCATCAAAGCTTCGCAGTAGGGCCCCTACAGCACCAATTCATGACCATGTCCTTCAGCTTTTCATTTGCACTTCGGGGATTAACCAGGATGCTAACCTCACCATTAGACCTAATTAGACCTTCAGAAATTGACACTGGAACCAAGTCATTATTTGCAGTATTTGGGTCTAGTCTACTCCTGTACACAGGTCAGGCCGGAGTGTTTTCTTCTACAGGAGAAACTTCAGATATTGTGAACTCCTTTCCAATCTCTCAAGTCCAGGAGTCATCCAACTCTCCGGTTTTGGGCCTAATTGTTCACCTCCTTTAATGCAGTTCCATTTGCTTAGTTTTACTCCAGAGCTCTACAACCCAACATTCTTGCACAGGCTAATTTGTTTGGCATTGAGGACCCCTGGCTTAGTGGCTCAGGAATCCAGCTCTAGCATCAGGTAAGTCTTCCTTCTTATCTTTTGGAAGAGCCTCATGAAGGATGTCAGCCTGTTGGGCTGGGGAGGAGTCATGGGCACCCTGTTGATACAGTAGACTTTCCTCTCCTAATCAACATTCTTGAACTCCAGGCAATTTGGCTGTCTCTGCAGAATTGGACCATCCTGCTTTAATGTGCTCTGATAAGAATTCAGTCAGACAATGCTAAGGCAGTTGCATAAATCATCCAATAGGGAGGAACCAGAAGTCATGCCGTGGCAAGAAAGATAGATCAGATCTGTCTTGGTGTAACGATTATAGGACAAACTAATTTGGATCTCAACTGCGTTCCATTGCAATAAAATGATTACTTCACTCTATGAATAAGTCCAGTGTAGTGGATGGGTATCTTATGAGGAGATGTTCATGCGTTCTAACAGATACTGTAATGGATGTATTAATTCATATAACACTTCATATAACAAAATGTCCATGCATTCACATAGATACTGAATGGCTGTATTACCTCATATAGCACTGCATATAAACAGTATCCATATGTTATATACATATAAGTTAGTTAGTATACATAGATACTGGCTGTATTCCTTCATAAGCCAGTACATATAACCAGAATGTCTATGCGTTCACATAGGTACTGAATGGTTGTATTACTATAGCAAGGAATATATAACTGCAGTAAGTTTGAGCAATGAGGTTTAAGAGGTACTTGCGATTGTGCTGTCAGGAGTTCACAGGATCAGGCTGTCCAGGTTAGAGGAATAACTGTAAGCAACTTGCCCGTTCCGCGTATGCGCCATGTCCCGCTAGGAGGGTAAACAGGCGCATGCGCACAACAAGTATTTCCCACGGAAAGACGTGCCGTATGGCGCACCGGAAGTGATGCGCATACGACGCGAGTTACAAGAAAAACGTGCCAAAGGCGCACAGGAAGTGACGTACATGATTGGCCTACTTCCCTATATAAACTGGATCAGCATGTCACTTGCTGGATTGTCTTCTCACCTGTTTGTGTATTGTATCCTGTTCCCTGCCTTGTCTTGAAGATCATCGATTACCTGGATTTTGACCTGTTTCTGCCTCAACTACTTTCCTCAATTGCTGCCTGCCTTTTTGACCTCCTGACTGTTTATTCGATTATTCTTCTTCATATTCCCTCGGTACTGCATCTGACCTCCCGGCTTCTGACCTCGGCTTGCCTTGACTACGATATCTGGATTACCCTTCTGCTTGCACGGTTTCATAACCACTGGCACTCGTGCCACTAGGTGTCTGACTGGCCTCTGTCACCATCCTCCAAAGGCCATAAGACACGAGGTGCAAGGGAAGCCTCCTCACCCATCCAGTCTCCCAGACCAGGTACGTGATAATAACTGACTCCAAGATGTTACAGCAGCTGTGTGGGAACAGGATGAAGAGGCTGGCTTGATGGGTATCAGCAACAGATTGGGTGTTTGCTCAAAGGATGATCCACTCGGATAGATGAATCCAACTAGGGAAGGCGAGTTGAGGCGAATGCAGCATGTCAGGTTGGCGAGCGGTCAGGATTCAATTGCTCATCGCCAGCACATTGCTTGAATGCTGTGCAATTGAACTTCCTGGCTTAAAACAGCTGAGGAGGAGGGACTGTGTGATGCTGCAGTCTGTGGGAGCCGGAGAGTTGGCTGTGAACTCCGGAGCCGGATTGTGGAAAGGTAAGTATATTACAGATGGACAGAACAGATGTTCCTGTCTTGTGCCCCATCTACATTCCAGACATAGACAATTGGCAAGCAGGCAGGCTTCTTCAGCCCAACAGCTTCTAAATCTGGAAAGTGGACAACTGGACAGATTTGTCTCCAAGTACAGGCATCATCCAGCAGATGTAGTGAATGCAATAGAGGCTCTGTGGAATTCGTACACCTTGATCTATAACTTTCTTCCCCTGAAACTTCCTCCTTGTCTACTTCACAGGATCCAGATGGAGGACATTTTGATGATCCTCATTACTGCGGACTAGCCCAGGCAAGACTTCTGGTGGACACTCCATGGGTTTTACCAGATCGTCAATATATTTTGTCAGAAGGACAATTTTTTCCATCCTGCTTCACAGCCCAGGTTTTGAGAGATGGACCTCTATGAAGTTGTGATTGTTTGATGCTAAAAACTAGATATTTTATTTCCTCCAGGTTTGTCTACATGTGGAAGGCTTAATTCGCTTGCTGTGAGCCTTGGAGCTTGTACCCTAAAAGTTTCTTTGTGGGACAGATCCTCTCCTCCTTGCAGCTGGGTCTAAACCAGTGTTTGGATCGCAGCACTGTCAAGGGCCGCCTTTCTGTCTTGTTTTATAGACTATTCTTCTGTCTTTGTTTATCTCCAGTTCACCAAAAGGAAATATCCCTCCATTATCTGGATGTGGTTTGGGCTGTGAGAATCTATCTACCAGCCACTGCTTCTTTCAGAAAAACGAATTCCCTTCTTTCATCCCGGATGTACCTCAAAAGTGTGCACTGGTTTCTAGCTCTACCAACTCAGCAACATTGGCTCAGACAGACCATCATTCAAGCTTATGGTCTCAAGGATCAGGTTCCATTCTTGCATGGCACGCTCTGCTAGATGTGTGAGTGCTTCTTGGGCATTTCATCTCTTTTTCCAGATTTGCAACACTACAACCTCGTCTCTTCTGTTCACACGTTTTCTAGATAGATGTTTTGGCCTCATCTGATGCCACCTTCGAGTGCAAGGTCCTTCAAGCGGCTCATTGCCCAACACTCAGTTGGACTGCTTTTGGAGGTTCCAAAGGTTATAGACTTTGTGGCCCTCAATGGACGGAAAAAACATTGGATCTTTGTACTCGCCGTAAAAACCTTTTCTTGTAGTCCGTTGACCATTATCCATCCTTCTACAATCGTGGTTTTGGTACTGCTTTGCTCTGAAACTGAGGCATGCTTGCTGTAGAAGGAGTTATATTGAGTTGGCCTACAGATTTTGTTTGCTAGTACTCAATCTTCTCAACATCCGGTTTTCACCTGCATACCAGAAATAAGATGAAAGAAAGTTGAGGGTGGGATAGCCACTGTGAACAAATTAAGCTCCTTATTATTTTAAATTACTGACATGCCAACATGGCTCAGGCATTGGGTTCTGAGGAGGATGTGCATAAGTAGGCATACAGGAGTATTAGTGTATCGCAAATCCTTTTTTTAAGGAAGTCTTGTCGGAATGAAAAAATAATTAGTGTATTTTAAATTGAAGGGGAAGTAAAGAAGTGGTCGATGCTGGATCGATTCCTGGAGATGGACTGGGAGCTGGTGGGCTTGATTCGAGTTTCTATAGCCATTTAAAACGGAACTGGATTTGGATAAGCTACATTGTTAATAACAACAAAAAGGTTGGTGTTTTTGGCATCAAGGTTTCTTATTGGTTCTATTTTTTCATATGAATTTTCAATATCTTGGTAATTTAAAATAATATACTGTAATACTACACTTTGTATTGGTGTTAAAATGCAAAAAGGACAAAACATCTGGAATCATACACATAAGCAGCTTGATAATTACCATGGACCAAAGTAGCTTACATTACTGGAGAAATAGAACATTTATCAAAGATTATTCAAACTGACAGAGGTATGCAGCTAAGGAAGGTATAGTATTGGTTTGTATGGGAGTCCTAACGTTAACAAGGTGTGTTATTAGGGGTGGAAATAGAAGGGAGAAGTAGATGTAAATAATAACAAAGGAAGCCAGTTAGCAAGTATGAAGAGGAAAAAAAAAATACAGAGAGACAAAATAAGGAAAAAGGTTGAATGGACATTACAGACAAAGATATTTAATCAGAGTAGGAAGCATTTTACCCTAAGGGAAAAAAGTTATTTTAAAGCTTGAGGCATTCATTGGGTTTTAGAATGAGTGCCCCTTTTTATAGTAAAATAGAGTGGGGAACTCGCATCTAGTGGGTCAGAATAATTGTCAGGTTTATATTTGTCTGAATTCCCTTCTGGTCCTGGTAACAGTGGGCTTGAGAGGTAGCAAGTGATAGGAAATCTCTATTTAGTAGATTTGTCTGTCTTGATGACCCTCATTTGCTTATTTCTCATCCTGGTGTGACAGGTGTCTCACTGATGCAGTCAGAGGTAGCAATAACAGTCATAAAAGTTTAAAATTACTCTCCACTCTATTAAACTTAAATAGCTATTTGGCTAATTCCAGTAAATTACATTATTTACTTATTTAGCCTAAGGAATGCATTCATAAAAAAAGATAGAACCCCATAGTTCTCCTTTAAAGTTTATTTTTTTATTTGCATTTTGTTCTTGAAAAGAATCAGTCTTTGTAATATGCTGGCAATAATTGTTTTCTGCTTATATAAGATTACTTATTAAACTGTTTTTTTTTTTTTCAGACTAAATATGCACAACAAGGCTTTACTCTAAGACTTCAGACCTTTCTGAACAAACCCATGTTACTTCTTGGCTCAAATGGTAATATTACATTCTATATTTTTCTTTTCATTATAGCCAGACCTTCTGTAAAACATTGGAAAGGTCAATGTGCAAAGTGTAGTAATCCATGCTATCCAATTCAGTTTTTCTTTAAGGAAAAAGCCGCTACTGAGAAATATATGTAGGCTGCCATCGTTGACCGTCTTGTGAAAAAGCCTATTGTATCGTCATCATTAGCTTCAAAACCTTGAGTCACTGACCCTGAATAGGCATGTAGCAAGTAAAGTCACAGCAAAGTCCATGCTGATCTGCGCAATTGTTATAGGTCATTCATTTATAGTTACATAGTTAGTCAGGTTGAACTAAGACACATGTCCATCGAGTTCGACCTATAGAGATATGCAAAAAAGAAAGAAGAAAAGCCTAAACAGAACGCTATGCCCACAATTACCCACTGTTGATCCAGAGGAAGGCAAAAAAAAACCCCTATAAAGCATGGTTCACTTTGCTCCAACAGGGGAAAAAAATCCTTCCTGATCCCATAAGACAATCGGATATTCCCTGGATCAACAATCTCTGATGCTTAATATACCTAATGAGAACTCAATATCCAGTAATATTCTGTGCATTTAGGAATACATCCAGATTTTTTTTAAGCAATTAACTGAGCTAGTAAAACTAGCTCCTGGGGGAGTCTATTCCACATTTTCACAGCTCTAACTGTGAAGAATCCTTTCTGTATGCAAAGGTTCTGTGTCATTTATAAATAGGTTAAACAGTAAGGGACACTGAACCTTGGGGGACACCACTAACAACCTCAGACCATTCAGAGTATGAATCATTGATCGCCACTCTCTGAATACGGTCTTTAAGCCAGTTTTCTATTAAATTACTCTATACCTATTGACCCTAACTTCTACATTAGCCGCATGTGGGGAATTATGTCAAACGTTTTTGCAAAGTCCAAGTATACTATATCCACAGCCATTCCTATGTTCAATTTATTAATCACTTCCTCATAAAAAGAAAGTAGGTTTGTTTGACAACTTCTGTCTTTTGTGAATCCGTGCTGACTATCGCTTTTGATATTATTTTTCAAGCAAAAACAATTGCGTGTGATCCATGATCAAACTTTCAAGTATCTTGCCAACGAATGAAGTTAAACTTACAGGTCTGTAATTACTTGGTAAAGACTTTGATACCTTGTTGAAATATAGGCACCACATTGGCCTTACGCCAATCCATCTGTACCAAGCCAGCCATTAGAGAGTCTCTAAAACTGACATACAATGGCTTTGAAATGATGCAGCTGAATTCTTTGAGGACACGTGGGTATAAGCCATCCGTTCCAGGTGCTTCACCTTAATTTTGTCTAACTGTTTCTGGACCACATCAATAGTCAGTCAGCCATTGTGGTTCAGTAGAAGCTATGGCACAGCTATCCCCATTATGGACCTGAGTTACATCCTGTTCCTTGGTGTGCACAGCGCTGAAGAAAGTATTGAATAGATTTGCCTTCTCTTTGTCCCCAGTTACCAACTCTGAGTTATCTTTTAAGGGGCCAACATGCTCAGACCTGATTTTTTTTTTTACTATGAATACATTTAAAGAATTTTTGGGGTTAATCTTGCACTTTTGTAACCTGCCGTTCGTTTGAATCTTTGCGAGCTTTATTTCCTTTTTACATATTTTGTAGCTTTCAAATGACGACAGTGTTCCTTAATTTTTATATTTTTTAAACGCCCTTTTCCTATTCTTTATTTCCTTAATTAACATTGGATGTGAGCCATGTGGGTTTTAATTTTATCCTTTTAAACGTATTGCTTAAAGGAATATATTTTGCCGTAGTGTTGCGAACAATTGTTTTGAAACATTCCTATTTTTGTTCCGTATTTTTTGATGAAAATATTCCCTCCTAGTCTAAGTCTTCAAGAGCAGCCCTCAGCATGGGAAACTTTGCTCTCCTGAAGTTGTGTTTTTATTTTTCCAGTATGTGCATGTTGTTTACAACTTAAGTTAAATGAGATCATACTATGGTCACTGTTATCGAGATGTTCTTTTATATGAATATCTGTAATAAGATCTGCAATGTTTGAGATTACCAGATCCAGCAGAGCATTATTTCTAGTTGGGGCTTCTACAAACTGTAACATAAAATTGCCATGTAATAAGTTTATAAATGTCAGCCCCTTTACTGTTCCAGCAGTGCCATTATGCCAGTCAATGTCAGGATAGTTAAAATCTCCCATTAATACTACTGTCCCCGCCCTTGCAGCCCTTTCTCTCTGTTTAAGGAGCTGAGTCTTTATCTCTCCATTAATTCTGGGGGGCCTGTAACAAACTCCAAGAATTACCTTTGCGGTATGCATACCAGTATACAACTCCACCCATAACGCCTCAGCACCATCACACTCACCATCACTAAAGTCCTCTTTAACACTAACTTTTAGCTCACTTCACACATGGAGACATACACCGCCACCTTTTCGTTTTACCCGGTCTCTCCGAAAGAGCGCATAGCCAGGAATATTAACAGCCCAATCATGTGAAGAACCAAGCCAAGATTCAGCAATACTAATTATATCATAGTTCTCCACATGCGTCAAAGCTTCCAATTCTCCCATTTTGCTGTGCAGACTTCTGGCATTGGCAAACAAACCATTCCAGCCATTTTTTAATTTTTCACTTGTAATTGCTGTATCTTTTGTTGTGGTACAATTAATACTATAATCTTGAATGTTTGTTTGCCAGATGGGAATCTCCTTATCCAGTTTGATTTCCCTCCCCCCATCTTCCCCTGTTTCACCCTCTATTATCGCTAGACCCCTGTTTGACATATCTGCCCCATTATATTCCATCTCTCCCTAAAGGGCTGTATGGCAGCTAGACAATATTTTCAGGAAGTCGGTAACTGAATGATGAAAGCTTACAGATCTCTGAGAACACATTTCAATGAGCTGTCATTGCTTACTGGGGTTGCTACTTCTCAGTATTGCACTTTGCTTAATTAACTATCCCCAGTCACCACGCAAATGTTTACAAAATTAATAAATGCATTTGCTGCTTTGCCAAATTTATGAACCTCTACTGAATATATGTCACATTGCATTCGTTTTCCTGTATGTATACTTGGGTATGGCTAGTTATAGATGAGCAAATGTCTTTTAAAAGCGAAATGAAGCCTAGGTATTTGTACTTGTTAAGCACCCAGGCTGTATCACAAGTAAAAGTATGAATTTCTTTTTTATGAAGTGTTTATTTTTATTTTGGGGGAGGGGGGCAGCAGTCTAGCTCATTTTTATTATTTTCTTGTTATGCAGGCTGACTGTTTAAAAAGTAAAAAAAATCAAGCCTTCAGTTAGGCTTGAGGGAAATGGTAACTGCACAGATATTTTGCCATCCTTTCTTCTCTGGAAGTTGCTGAAATCTTTACCCCACTTGGCTGAGAGTCTTGCCTCCCTTTCTGTCAAAGAAACACATTACAAAATCCAACATTTTAGAGTTGTCACAGGACACCTTTTTCAGTATCAGATTTTTAAGAGGGGATTTAAATATATGGCCTCCTCATGCCAGAGCGTGTGGCTTAAAGCAAAAGTAGCAAAGCCAGATTTCATTGACAGACTGTATGTAGGGGGTGATTTTATAACATTTGCGTTTACATAAACTCTTATGCTTTTATTATATGTAATAATTTAATTAATACTGTTAATAAATAGTACTTTATTCCTTTTAATTTTTTAGGTAAAAAGGAAAGAGTCTTTGGGGATATGAGAATGTCAGAAAGTGGAGAGCTTATTGAGATGGTAAAGGAAACTACAGTGTGTCGCAATAAACGGGTTTGTGGAGGGAAAAACCGGAAACGAAAAAAACTGAAGCAACACCTAGAAAAAAAGCAGAAAGTAAAGCAGAAAAAGAGTAAGTGATATATTGTTGGATTTTCATCTTTTTTCTGATGAACTGTCTTAGCTTCCCTGCAGTTACCTAAACCCCACATGTGTTATTTAGGTTGCCAGTCTCATTAACATCTTCTGTACTGGCTCAAAAATGTAGTTTCTTTATCATTCATGGATGGACACAGTATTCAGAGACAGTTGGATTATACTGCCACCTACAGGAGGATTTAGACATTGGCAAACAAAAAAAAGTGACCAGCCTGGTATAACCCCTCCACCTCCCAGCATGCCTCAGTTTTTGCTGGTGTCAAAACTTCATCTACAAACTGCTTGAGCTCGTCTCTTTATGCAGTTATCCGGATCAGTGAATAATCAGCAATAGCTTAGACCTGAGTAGACCATGGGCAGACCTTAAACACTGAGTAATTGAGTGGTGCATCACTAGGTGGAGTATTGCCTAATTTCCCAGCATTCAGCATGAGGTTCAACCTTACTGCCCGTGCTCCTAATCACAAGAGGGCTTCCATCTCGATTAGTCCTTGCTGCTGCCTACAGTGACTCGGCCATCCCCAGCCATTTGAACCTCTCCATCTTCCAGCAGTCCGTTCAGGAGTATTCAAGGTACAATGTATTTACAGCTATGTTGGGTGTCTCTTGCTCACCATCCACTAACAATTCTGGGGCGGCCTGGAGTGTCCTTCCACAAGTGCCTGACACTGACAGCCCAGAACACTGCCCTCTGCTTAAGTCCTTTCATTCATTGGCTCTGTCGAGTGTGGCTGGTTTTAACCTGGGAGGGTTTCACCGCAGTTATGCAGGATTTCATGGACCAAATTGCAGTGTTTATTGCTGTCTCAAAGCCTTCCTCTGCAAAATCATTATCTGATCTGCCTGCAACCTTAGCGGCCCCTGAGCCTTCATTTGCATTAGCTCTATCTAATGGGGAGCCTCGAAAGACCATGCAGTATGAGATTGTCCCTGAGGAGTCACAGGCAGCCAGCATCAGGGGCTGACCAAGACCATTTTGTCTCTTACTGATGAGGTGCCTGTCAACATACCAAAGATTAAGTAGCACCCTGTAAATTCCACAAGTGCTGCTTACCAGTCTAAAATCCTAAAGAGGCACTAAGACAGCTAAAATGTTTCCCCTACACACTGTTCCTAGATGTATTGTACGCTGACTGGGGCACTCATGTTAAACTATTTACATCTACCAAATGTTTTGCAATCCAATACCCTTTTGAGGAGACCTTTATCAAAATCTAGGTGGTTCCCATGGTTAATCTGGTGATGTCCTATCCTTAACAAAGCTGTAATGATTCCTGTTGAGTGTGTGCCAGTATTTAAGGATCCCATAGGTAAATGTTTACAGACTCTGAGCCTTGTTTATGCCAGCAGACCATGCATTCAACCTATTATTATGACCACAATGTTAGTCTGCCAAGCATTAGGGGACTAGACAAAACGTATGGCAAGGGATCCAGCTTTACTCCACACTAATCCTCCATTTGTGTCGCAATTACAGTTCATGATGACGGCCCTTCACTACTGTGTAAATGGGCTAATGGATCTCTCCCATCTTATTTCTAGTATAATTCTATCAGTTAACATGAGGAGAACTCTTTGCTTGAAATGTTGATTCTAAGGAACGATCCGATCAAGGCATGCTCTGCCGAGTGCTTCTTGGCCATTTTGGCATCAGGCATCCTGTGCCCGTCAATGAAATTCCAAGGACATTTGACAGGGAGTACAAAAATCCAGGTTTTTCACAGAACATGCTGGACAAGCAAGGTCTAATTATCTAATGAGTAACTGGTATAGGTTGTTACAATAAAGCAGTGTTTTGTGAATCTGCAAAATGCTGTAGTTTTTCTACAACAAAAATCAAGTTTTAATTATTAAATTCAGATCAGTAAGAGATACTCTGATGATTGGATGCATACATTAACACAATAATAAGTGTTGTTTCAAACATTTGTGAGTTAATTGGAGCTTATGACTAACATGTATTTCGGTTGGAGGAGATTTAAATTAGCATATGATGAGTTTGCGATTTATAGAATTAGAATATAATGATACCCTAGAGAAACTGGAGAGAGGGGATTACCTGGGCAAAATAGTGGGGGAAAGGGTTAGCAGGAAATAGTTGTTAATAACTGCCTGTAGTACTAAGAAAAAAATAAATAGTGACAGAAGAATAAAGCATGCTTGTTAACACACACACAAATATAAAAAAAACAGGTCACAACTGTCTAAGATGGAAATTCCTTGCACTTGTATCTCCAAGACAATAAATGAAGAGCAATCTCCTCATCAGGACACAGAAAGCAAAGGAATTACTTGATAGGAGATTTAACCTGTCCCTGCTCTATCCAAAACAAAAAAAAAGGTTTGGCTATACATACAATTTAAAATGTGCCACTATTATCTAGTCAACTGTGTACTAAATGTAAGATGAAGCAAGTGTATAATTAGCTGGGGAGTATTTACAGTTTATTTATCAGAACTTGTTTTTTTATTTCTAAGAGGAAAAGACGGAAGAAAAAATAAAAAGAAGTCGATACCATGATGAGGCTGATCAGAGTGCATTACAGAGAATGACCCGTCTGCGAGTGGCATGGACAGCACAAGAGGATGGCTTGCTTATGCTCTGTCGAATAGCTAGTAATATTCTAAACAGAAAGGTAGTTTAAAACAAGTTACATCCTTATGCATGTGAGCAACAGATACTCAATACCCCCAGAGCTTGTGTTTTGATTTCTTTTTTCTTCATGGACCGGGAATCTGTGCATGGGATGGGGGGCATTGCTGACTTGGGTAGGCCTTGATGTGAAACAGTCCCATGTGCAGATGCTGCAACCATGTAGTAAAAAGTAAATATTCAAATAATAATTTCCTGTGGGTACCAATTCCCAAACACAATTTAAATCCTACAAGAATTCCCCCAAGCGAAGTACACACATCGGGAATTATAAATACCAAAGTAGATCACTTTATTACAAAATTACTTCTTATTAAACATGATTATCAACCACTACAAAAATCCTACCTTAATCATCCTGCATGATTCTGATCGGTATTCAAATTATATACAATAGTCCGTGTGGCTGTGGCGTTCCCTGTCATGATGCTAATGTATTCCCTACTGCCAGCCTAATATAAGCTGATGTGAAGTTTTGGCACTGAGCTCCGGAGCCGGCTATTTGCTTAGTTGTGTGGAAGTTCAAGCCTGGACAAGACTACTCGCCTCGTACTGAAAAGAAATACTGATAGTCTCCCTTTTTTCAGTTGGATGAGCTGCCTACCTTTCAAGACAGTTGGCATACCGCTATTGCTGTATTTTATATGTCAACCAGGCCACGCATACAACCGGGATTTTTTTGTGCACATATGATGTGTGATCTATGTCATCCATTCATCTCCACATCCAGGGCTGCTTAATGTAGAGATTTGCTATTTTCACATGGTTCATATGATTGGCCATTTCTTTATAAATGTGCGTTTCAGCATGGTCTCTACTACTGAGTTGGAGCATTGATAAAGCAATTATTGAGCAGAAATAGACTTGATGCTCATTTACTGAATATTTGATTTCTTCAATATATGCTTGTGTGCAATACTTGTCCGGAGAGTTGGCCTTGCACCATGATTGTATGGGACAGGTGTTGGCTCTTGTATGCATTAACTGCTGATGGCAAGGTGACATGTAACCTGGTGAACAACATTTTGGGCTCATGTGTGTAACTATAGCAATACACATATATAAATTGGTTAGAACTTTGAGTGCAGTTGGGAATTCTATATATTTGATGTATTATATTGCACTATTGTGTATAATTTGAATACTAATCAGCATCATGCAGGATGATTGGGGTAGGAATTTTAGCTGTTTTTAATTTTTGTAGTGGTTGATGATCATGTTTAATAAGAAGTAATTTTGTAATAAAGTGATGTTTATAATAGTTTGGTATTTATAATACCCAGTGTGTGTACTTCCCTTGGGGGAATTCTTGTAGGATTAAATTATTTTGGCAAATGCGTTGTTAACCATTTTTATATATTGAGTCTTTTGTTTTAATATTCATTTTTAGCATTTTATATTTGTAAGTGCTTGTTGGATATGGAAAATACATGCAAGTTGCCCACTGTTTACGTGTGCGTGTGTATAAGTACTAAAGAAGAGCTCCAGAGCATTAATATGTGGGTTAGGAAAACTCCTTCTGCAACTCTGTATATGTGGGAGCCCCACCATCCGGGTCTTTCATTTCTCTTATGTAAGATGTGCCCCTGAGTGTTGGAACTCAGGTGATGTATGTTGTACTGTTGTACCTTAACCTCTGTGAAAACCAAATAAAAACAATAAAAAAAAGAAGAGCTCCAGACAAATGGGAATCTTCATGGAATGGGCAGCACAGTGGAGTGGTGTAGTGGTTAGCACTTCTGCCTTGCAGAACTGAGGGTCCCAGGTTTAAATCCATGTTCTCCCTGTGCTTGTGTGGGTTTCCTCTGGGTACTCTGGTTTTCTCCCACACTATAAAGACACGCTGGAAGGTTTATTGGCCCTTGTTCAAAATTGCTGTTGTATGTTTGCATTTGAGATAGCGACCTTAGATTGTAAGCTCCTTAAGGGTAGGGACTGATGTGAATGTGCACCATGTAAAGTGTTGCATAAATTGTCAGCGCTATATAAAATACCAATAATAATGAAATTCCAGAAATCTTTTTTACTTGGTCTCTCCCAGGTTCTTGGGTGGCATCACATGACTGTAACTAGCCACTCAAGCAGTCTTCCAAAAATTTAAGAATATAAAGTTAAAGACAAAATTCAGTGTGTTTCTTGCATTTTGTTTTTGAAATATATTTAACACCTTATCAGTACCGCTCAATACCTGTCTTTGCATACCATAAGCCCAGATATCTGTCCTCAAGTCTCCATCGTGTTTCAAACTCCTCCTCTTTCTTCTCAAAAATGACATTTCATATAATATAACTGGGCCAGTATATTTATAAATTGTGAAAATTAGGGCCATATGCACACAAAAATGGTTTATACAAGAAATCTAAGTTTTGTTTCTATTGTAAGTTCTCCCTCGGTTTATCGTGGCTTGAGGTGATTTTTTTTGTGTACTGTACTAATGTTTTTGTAGCAAGAGCCTATTTTTCCAGGATTTCAGTTGAATTCATGGAATTTCTTTCATATGGGAGTTAAAGGAGAACTATGGGGTTAAGGCTTTTCCCCATAGTTCTCCTTAGGGTAACGGGAGGACACAAACTAGCGTCCTCCCGTCACCCTAGGCTCAGTATACCGCGAGCTGTATCTCGCGGTTTACTGAGACGGCGCAGCTGAAGCGGATCCCGACAATTGTGTCGGGATCCGCCCAGCTGCGTGACTGACAGCTGGCTCTGCCTATCTAGAGGCAGAGCCAGCTGTACCCGCTCCCTCCCCCGTCCGTTCCACCAGTCAGCACTGGCGGAGTGGGGAGGGGGGAATCCAGCCCCTCCTCTGTCATGGCAGAGAGCTGTGACTGGATCGAGAGGTGAGCTAACGCCAGTATGTGTTCGCTCACCTCCCGATCTACTGAGCCGACCTGTGACAGTCTCATTGTCACATGTCGGCTAGAACTATGAGGTGAGTGAAAAGCACTTGCCTCATAGTTCTCCTTTTTAATATAATGGCATTGTTAAAACCATAGTATTTAAATGCATTCTGTCATTGTGTTATCTGCATTTGATTGTTGCTTTTTTTTTTGTACTGTTATCATTTCTTTCTAAAAACTCTTCATTTCAATATTAATTCCAAATTAAATCCTGTATGATCGATATTTTTTTAACAGGTGGAAGGCTGAGTTCTGTCACATAAGTTATTAGGGAGAGGGGAGATATTTTAGGAAATAAACTTGTCCTGTTTATTTAAAAAAAAAAAAAGTAGCGTTTCACTTCAAAGGTCAACGTAAGTTGATAAACAAATCTCTTGATCCATAAAGGGAATGCTAGGGCTTTCAGTGTCTGTTAAACTCATTTTTATGAGCTTGAGTATTAAAGCAGACTTTGTTTTAAATTACTGATGTGCAAAACATTGTCTACTATTTTATTTTCTAGGTGAATAGACCATTTGTGCCCTGGCAAGTGGTCAGAGATATTATGCATTCCAGCTTTGAAGAGTCACTGGATAAAACATCACACTCTATTGGAAGAAGAGCTCGTTACATAATGAAGAATCCTCAGACATACCTTAATTACAAGTAAGCTAGCTGTCCGCTGTTTGTTGCGCGTTTTGTGCAGCGCGTTTTTACTGCGATGCGCGGTAAAAAAACACGCGACAAACGCGCGTTTCCGAGGGCTACCTAGCTGTATCCCAATGGATACGTGCGGCAAATACGCCCCAAAGAAGCTCCTGTACTTCTTTGGGCGTAGGGCGTTTTGTAGCGTGTTCATACGGCCTTTAAGGCCTTGTTCACACCAAATGCAGACCAGATCCGGTCAGGTTTCTGCACACGCAGTGCAGTGGGTTGTGCCGCGTTTTGGATGCGTTTTTGATGCGTTTAGGGCCGGTTTTGGTAAAAAAATATTTTTTTTTTTTAAGTTTAACATGGGCTTTCAGGCACTTGCATGCGTTTTTGATGCGTTTTAGATGCGTTTTTGATTGCATTCCAGACCAGATCCAGAGCAGGTAAAATAGGGCTTGCCGCATTTTTTTCATCCGATCTGGTCTGGATCCGCACACTGCGATGTGAACTGGAGGTCGAAATACCATAGGAATACATTGGGCGCAGTTTTGATCCGGTCTGCACCTGCTCTGGTCTGGATCTGCTCCGCGCTTGGTGTAAACAAGGCCTAATACGCCCAGGTGTGAACCATACCCATGGGAAATAATGGGATTTTTGTGTTTGAGCGTTTTGCAGAGCGTAGGAACGCGCTACAAAACGCCCAGGTGTGAACCGGGTATAAATGAACAAGATGTATGACTGGGGGTCCAAATTTCTTTTTTTTATATATTTTATTAGGCCCATAGGTGCCAACATACATGAGTACAGCTTTAACAAAGCATCAGATGTAGGTCTAAATATCTGGGGAATCATAATTTAATTATCTCCTTTAGGACACCTAAATGTTTTTAGTGGATAACTGAAAATTGCTTCCATTTCTGACCCTTCCATTTAGTACTAAAGTGTTGCCAATCTTTTTGTATTACCCCCCACCCCCGGAATAATCTACTCACCTATGCCTTCTCCAAGGGGAGATCTTGGGTGTGTGGCCTTCTTGGCATTACATAGCCTTCCTTGAAAATCTTCTCTGCTGGGTCCCATGCCACAATCTGAATTCAGTCATATGGAGAGTTTTTGATCCTATAGATTTATCGTACTGCCCATAGTTCAAACTAGGACTCAACTAAGATTCCACTGGGCTCCAACAGGGAAAATGTTCTGAACAGGCTTTTTGCCACTGAGGAGTATATACTTTGGGTGGGGTGAGGAATGCACATTAATGCTCAATAAGGGTAAATGTGCAAAACAAAAGCTGTAACACTTGATGTTAATCCTAAGAATCCCTGATTAAGTATTAGAATAAACTCCTTATGTGTCCTACTCACATTCTGCCTCTGACTAGCTGCAAAATTGTCTCTCTCGAATAAGCTGATTAATATTTAAATGTAAACTTTATTCCACTTATGATGTGCATTTTATATTTTAGAGTATGTTTGGCAGAGGTTTATCAAGAAAAAGGCCTTGTAGAAGACTTTATGAATCGAAAAGCCTGTTACGATGATCTTAAGGTAGGATCATACTTTGCATATTTTTACTACAGTTGACATATTTTTACTACAGTTGACATATTTTTACTACAGTTGACAAAAGATAGAAAACAATCGTATATGACGGAAGGGAGCAGTGTCCCTTTCTGAACAAGGATTTTACAGTACTAAATTCCTATTTTCTCTATTGTTTATTGCAGGACACAGCTTGAGGGTAATTAAGCAACCTAGGGATGTATAAAAGCAGTCCAAGCAAAGGCATGGGCACACTAAAAACGCAGGCGAACCAGCCCAACAAAGGCAAAGGGGAAACCAAGGGCATATAACAGCAGTTTGCAGAACACTTTGAGCAAAACTAGCTAAGGCAGATACGTTTCCTGCAGAACTTAGAGAACATACTGTATGTACATAAGACCAGGTTGCACCTTACAGATGTGAAACAGAGGCCTGACAACGAAGTGACCAAGAAGCACTCACTGCCCTATCAGAATGGGTTTTAATCTTGCAGTTCATAGGCCAGCACAATAACCTGTCAAATCCACTTAGAAATAACAGAAACTGGAAGCCAGTGAGCCTCTTTTAGGAACTTCTGGAAGAACAAACATAAAATCCGCCAAACAGAAGCAGTGGCCGAGAAGTAAACTCTGGCAGTCCTCACCACATCCAGGCAATAGAAAGAGATTTCCTTGGAGTGAGCTGGTTCTTGTTCCAAGAACCTAGATTTTAACAGCCAAGCCATCAACAACAGTGACCGAGAAACAGAGGAAGATTGGTCCTTGAGATAACGGATCTGGCTGATCTTGTAGAGGCCACAGAGCATTACGCAACAGCCAAATTGCTTGCAACTAAAATGTAAGCTTCGATTCTTCCTGAGATCAGGAACAGACAAATGGTTCAGAACTTCGCCCCAATCCGGGAACTAAACTAAATTTACCATAGGCAGAATTGTGTAAGTCATGGTGCATATAGTGGTAGCAGCCCTGTTGTGCAGTACAAGCCCAAGAATGAATTAAAAAAGAGGCACCCACAAACAATATCCAGCTTGTAAACTAAGTGGGAAAATAAGACATGCCCACAAATAAGTAATATGTACTCCTTACAGAGCTCTCACCCAGCGCCTACTGTGGTAAATACTACACACAAACCTCAGGAACAAAAAAAAGAAATAATAATCCAGAGGGCAGGGACAGATGAAACTGCCACATCTCTGGCCCTGTAACACTGCAAGAAATCACCAGATATACTGCTCTGACCTCAAACGGTTACTCCTGTGTTAATTGGAACGCAGATGTGTAGCCAATGCTGACTGCAGGACCGCCACAGAGAAAACATAAATATACTTAATGAAAACCTGAGCTTGTTGGCTAACTGGAGAGGCTTCAGGATTTCCAATATGCGGCCTGAGTATCATTAGGTATAGAGTAGGAATATTCTAATTCAAGCAAAAAATTTATAGTAGAAAAGAGAAAGACATCCATTCTTGTATGGACACTGAGCAGTCTATTAGTGTCTTGCAAAACTCTATGAATGCTTGTTTATGGAAATGGAGGCATAAACAAATATTCTTCATATATTTTTTTTTCCAAGTCAAATATAATATTCGGTAGATACTGCATTATGGCCACTAGATGGGCCTGATAAGCATAGGAAATAAGTATTTATAAGTATGCTCCTCAGCTCCAACTAGTGTCCATAATGAAGCTTTTATTCAATATTACATTCGACTTGAAAAGAAAATATGCTAAGAACATTAGGTTTTGCCTCCATTCTCACAAAACAAACATTTGCAGAGATTTACAGGATGAATGGCTCTGTGAAATTGTTTATAAATACACCCCCTTGCATAATTGGGCAGGGTGGGGGGTTATAGCCTTAAAAGGGTGTTGTACTTCAGTTTTCCTTCTACCTAGTGTCCATATCTCCCGCAGATGGCAGTATTACCCCAGGTTGCTTAATTGTCATTAAGCTGTTTCCCTTAATGGACAATAAAGACAATACCATGTTTATTTAGAGAGGTATTTACTGATGTGACAAGTAATTATAAAAATCACCAGTATAGTTATATATTTTAACTAAGTTATGTGTTTGATAGAACTGTTATTTTGATCTATTCAGGTGAGATGAGATCTGTTAAAATCAATGATGTATGTATTTGTTTATACACTCGTACATATACATTATATATACATTATATATTATATATATATATATATCTCTATCCTCAAGAGGGTTTGATTTTTATTCATCTTTTGTGCACTTGACGGGGATTGTTGCTTGGTGAGATTGATTTAAAACACCTGACTAAATTTGGTATTATTGGTTTGGAGATTATAATATGGTTGATGGGATTAGTAGTTTCTTTGTGCTCTACTGACCCATATACCCCAGCCAGTTTAGAGTTAACCAATCCTTCAGTGAGCATTGCTTCCTGCATCTGTGTAGGGTGGAGTTTTTGAGCACATTTAAGTTAGATACTGGTCTGTATTTGTTACCTCTATCAATAAGCCTATGGGTGAAACATGTGAGAGGTTGTAGCTGGTTGGGGGTTTGCGGTGCTGGTATTTGCTGTTACATACACTGTTACACTTGATTTGCTGTGAATTTCAATAAAGTCTGAAGTATCGGAGTTCTCTGGATAGTGCTGTTAGTTCGTATACTACTACTACTAGTTATATTGGGGCTTACATTCAAATTAAAAAATCGGCACCAAGCAAGTTTTGCAAGGTTATAAAGTTGGAAGCGTATAGGTAAGTAGTATAGGACTGTGCAAGTCTTTCATTGATCAAATAGCATTGTTTTATCATGGACAGTTTTCCAAGCAGCAACCATGAACAGGATAATCTTGCGTGAAAGTGTCTGCCTTAAGGCCAGTACTTTGTTGAGCAGTACTCTTTGATTCAAAAGATTGTATCCAGGGCCGCTACTAGACTATTTTGAGCCCTAGGCAAGATCAGCTACTATAAACCTCCCACCCAAAAAAAAAAATTTTTTTTTTTTTTGTTATAATGGTGTTTTTCTTTTTATTACTTCAGTATGTGCCGTTATAAACAAAATATTTATATGGATAGATATATATTACACACGCACATACATTCAATACACACATTTGCTTGTTTGTTTTCCTCTGCTTCAGACTAAATGGGCAATGCAGCAGCATGAAAAGCCTCCGAGGTTGGCAAACTGATGCAGGCATGTGGGCTAGCTACATGGTTCAGATGGCACATTATGACCAAGCTGGCACCACCAGTCTTACTCCCAGAAATGCCAGGCTAGCCCTGCTACCAAGATGCTGGTGGTGGTGCTACAGGTGGCAAAGTGGGGTGTAAAAGTCTAACATGGAGCAAGGGGGAGGAGGCAGGCTGACATGGAGCAGAAGAGGAGGGGGCATGAATACATAGAGAGGGAGGTCCTCAGTAAGGATGGGCTCGGGCATGTTCGCAGCTCCACGTGCCGAGCCCGCCAGGAACCTGACAGCGCAGCAGCGCCAATCACAGGTACTGAGACATTTTCCTGGTCCGCAGCTGCAGAGATCGGGAAAAGTCTCAGTGCCTGTAATTGGCGTTGCGCGCTGTCAGCTTCCTGGCAGGCTCGGCATGTGGAGCTGCAAACCCGCCCGAGCCCATCCTTAGTCCTCAGGGCTCAGATTGGGCAGCCCAGAAACAGAAAAATCAGAAGATGGCATCTCTGTTCGCTCACGTGCTCACTTGTCTACACCCCAACCTCGGCATCCCCACAATCTACATCTGTACCCCCTTTTATCAAATTCCAGCATCCGCAACCCACCCCCCTCACTCCTCCCTCCTGTTTATTTACATACAGTAGGCAAACCACCCCTCTGCCGGATCACCCCCCCCCCCTTCCAAGAAGGTGCACATACCATGGGGTGCTGATCAGGGTTGCTGCTGGGGGGGTCTGGGGACAATACAGTGTCGGGGGGCGCTCAGCGGATGTGCAGCAGCCCAGGGGTGGCCATCTTGAGCTGATCTGCAGACGCTCTCGGTATGGGCACTGCGCTCGTTTCCACCCCCTTCTCCAGGCCAGTCAGGGGTGAAAGATTCCACTCCCCTTTCTCTTCCCTTTCTCTTCCCTTCCACTCCCCTTCCTCCACCTTTCCTCAGCTCTTCCTCCAGGCCAGACCGCCACTCCCACCCCTTCAGCCCGGGCTGGTTACACCATCCTCAGTGCTTTTTTTCTTTTTTTTCTTGCTGTTGCCTGCTTGTGTGCTGCGCAAGCTGTTCCGTATGCTTCCGTGCACCACTGCCTGCCTCTCCCGGGCTGCTCTGGCACTCCGCTCACTGGCACTGCCGCTGGTCGAGGCTGCCTAGTTTTCCTAGTGGCAGTGCCGACCCTAATTGTATCCATATTTGAGCTTTGGAATAAAAGCCTGCCCATAAATGACATCAAATTAGTCCTCCCCACCATCTGACACGGCATTGGTGCTATGTCCACATGTACTTAAGTATTGGCACTAAGACCTGTTTTATTATTAGCGTGCAGCTAGTGTAGCTGAGGCCTACAGTGTAGTCGAGTACATAAGCCTTCTTGTTGGCTGTCAGGGAGCAAGTCCTTCATGATAAAACCTAACAAATTGAGTCGACAAATTGCAAATTCATATACCATACATGCATGCAATTGACCTAAGTAATGATAGTTGACTCAATGACTGCAGGTGCACCAAACCTTAACATCTCTACCACCATGCTTGACAGTTGGTTTGAGGTTCTTCTCTTGAAATGCTGCATTTGCTTTGTGCCGAACATATCTACTGTTACTGAGGGAGGATCAGGTGACTATAAGTGGGATGCGCTTGTCAGAAACGCTGTTAAACTTTAGACTCTATTAAAAAAAAAAAAAGATGTACAAAACCATAATACACTTAGAAACCATTGCATTTGCTAAACAGATTTATTAAGGATTAAAATCCAGTTCTATAACTTCTTCTTTTTTATTTTTTTTTAAGATTTGTGCTGCAGAGTTCAAAGAATTTGTAGAGAGACTAAAAGTGAAGTTCAGCACAAAGATGGATGATCCTGCATCTCAAATTCCAGAAACCGTGGATGATCTCTTTAATAGGTAACAGACTTACAGATGGAAAGGCACATTGCAGTGTTTAACTTAATCTTCAAATAACGACTTTATCTTTGTGGCGCCTGCTTGGACCTTCATTCCAACCTGTACATGGGGCCTCAACGTCTTCCCAAATTGGCACAAATCCCCTCCCATTCTGGCGTTAATCTCCACCACTTGCCAAATGGTAGAGTCTCCGTGACCTCATATGACATTTAAATGCCATGGAGAGCCTTGCTGTTGGTTGGATATTTGTGTTTTATTGTAGATTAGCCACAATCAAACACTAGTAAGGAAAAAAAAAACGTAAATACATTTTTTTTGCATAGCACCTGTCAGACTACCGTGAAGGAAGGCATAGAAATTACTTTTTCAACATTTTGCTGCTAATTCATTGTCTAGTCAAGGGTGTGTGTGAGGAGAGGTGACTAAGAAAGCAAAATTGTAGCAGTCAATGTTGTCTGTATTCACAAAGTCTTATGAAAGTCTGTGTATGTGGTTACAATAAGCAATGATCCTTTAATAGAAGAAAGAGCAGACTGCAAAATACCGGTAAGGGCTTTATGTGGACTTCTAAACTTGCTTACAGGTAAGAAGGTGGGGGCAACCCTAGGAGCAAGTCAATTGTGCTGTAGTACACATGTGATGATGAGAAACATGCTAATAGGAGGAGTAAGCAAAGAGATTAGGTAATCGGTCTGCTACTGCCCATTTACCGGCTGGTCCATGGAGGTGACAGAGTTGTATTGCTTTACTGGAGTAAAGAAAAGTCAGTTCACCTACCTGGCTCTGTCTGGACTTAAAACAAATATACTTATAGTTATTTTTAGAGGTGCACCGAAATAGAAATTTCCAAACTGAAATGAAGAAAATTGGCAGACTGAAACCGAAAATTATTTGTATTTAATTTTTTTAAATATTTAATTTTTTATTTTACTTTTATGGGCTTCGGGGAAATATTTAGTTTAGACCCCTGATATTTCCCTTTTTAAAATAGAAGAAAAGATTGAGGGCACAGGGTCATCAATCTTCTTTTTTTTTTTTTCTGCATTCCCTGTTATAAATGAACAGGAATCCTCTATACTGAGTGTTCCTGTTCATTCATAACATGAGGGCATTGTATGTTTACTATATGTTTACTATATCCACAATCATGAATGAACAGGAGGTGATGTAGATAACTTCCCATTCATTCATAATTGAGGATATAGTAACCATACTATGTCCTCATGTTATGTACAAACACTCACTGATCATTGAGTGTCTGCACGCGCTCTCCATCCTGACAGCGGTCACAGGAGGCTGAGCGAGCGGTGCATGGAGGAGAGCTCAGCCCCCCACAACGCTGTGCCGGACTGTGACAGGAGGCTGAGCGGTGTGAAAGGACAGATGCCGGCCGCTCACAGCACTCTCCTCCTGCAGCGCTCGGGCGCCTGCGACACTTTCTCTCCTCCCCCTGCTGGGACACAGAGCAGCGCCCAGCAGGGAGGAAAGAAAGCAGGGATGCGCCGATGTATCGGCAGAAAAATTGCACTTTCGGCATTTAGCTTAAAGTGCCATTTTCGGCCAATATGTTTCGGCAGCCGATATATCGGCGCATCCCTAGTTATTTCATTATGCTGGAGTCAATGTTTTCAGTAGGAGTCAAGTGACTTTGCCTTCCAGAGAGGGAAACTGGAATGTTTACAGCAGAATCCTGGATGTCACAGCAGGACCAGGAGTGGGGGTAGCTCTTCCTGCAGAGGCTACGATCAGCAGTGAAGATCTGGCAGGAATGAGCCAGGGAAGAAAATGGGAGTCAATAATGAAAACATTTTGAGGATGTACAAAATCTGCAGATTCTTATCGCTTTCCTTCTTCTTTTATTAGGTTTCGTGTTCTGGCAGTTGGAGATGAGTCCATCCAAGAGAGTGGATTAGAAAGTATTAACAGGTACTACATCATAGAAGTGAATGTACTGTACTACTTTAATCAAAAAATGTCAATTGAAAATTTTGGTTTCTCCGTTTTACATAGTTACATAGTATTTGAGGTTGAATAAAGACATTAGTCCATCAAGTCCAACCTATTAGGATCTCATTCTAGGAGTACCTGTGCCCGTGTATATTACCTGTACCCCTGTATATTACGGTCCCTTAAGAAATCGTCCAAAAGTTTCTTGAACAATTCCACATTATTTGCTGAAATCACCGCCTGTGGCAGTGAGTTCCAGACCCTAACTGATCTTACTGTGAAGAACCCCCTTCGCCCCTTGTGCTGGAATTTTTTTTCCACCAATTTTAGGTGATGGCCTCTAGTTTTTCTAACGGAGTTAATTTTAAACAGTTTATCGCTAATGTTGCTACCACCATTGAACATTTTGTACATGGAAACAACCTCCCTGTTGCGGACAACCTCCCTGTTCTGACAAGGTCACTCTAAATTGCTAGAAACTCCACACTGGTAGTTTTCAGGTCAAAGATCATGGTGCTGAGACTACTGACCTTACCTACACTTCCTTCACACTAAGCCTCTCTGTGAGGCAGCCAGTTGGTGCCTCTTCCTCCACAAAACTTTTGTTCATCTGTAGTGAATGTGCATAACTGAGAGTGAAGCGGAAGGCAGACAAGCCTAAAGAGAGTCTTTTCCAGGAAACCAGTAGATATTTTAGGAGTCAGATCTAGATGTGAGCACCGTATAAATAGGACCAGAGGACTTTTTGTCCACTTTAGATAATGCAGGATTAATGACAGGCTGAGGTTTAGCCTGTGGGATGCAGGTACTTACTGTCATTGGTGGAGGTGCCTTTTACATCAATTCCTGCAATAGTTGCTCTCTTTTGTAAGAACTGCTTAATGAGAGGTATATCAGCCATTGTATTTCCTATCTTCAGTTGTATGGCCAGTAAACGGCTTTACAAAGTTTTTATTTTTTGCAACAGACAGTTTGAGCACTTAATAGCATATAATAACATGTTAAATTGGAGAGCGAAACAACTGGCTAAATACAATGTTAGCATATAAATACTGTATGTTTGCTGTTATCTGCCAAAGTATTTTAAATTTTGATAGTTCATTTTTGCGATATCCTGGTTTAACATTTTTGCCTCCTGGATAAGATTACTGGACTGAGGTGGTGACAGGAAGCTTAGTTACATAGTATTTGAGGTTGAATAAAGACATTAGTCCATCAAGTCCAACCTATAGGATCTCATTCTTAGGAGTACTTGTACCCCTGTATATTACGGTCCCTTAAGAAATCGTCCAAAAGTTTCTTGAACAATTCCACATTATTTGCTGAAATCACCGCCTGTGGCAGTGAGTTCCAGACCCTAACTGATCTTACTGTAAAGAACCCCCTTCGCCCCTTGTGCTGGAATTTTTTTTCCACCAATTTTAGGTGGTGGCCTCTACTGTTTTTGTAATGGAGTTAATTTTAAATAGTTTGTCGCTGATATTGCTTTCACCATTGAACATCTGGAAATCGTATCCCCCCTTAATCTCCTCACCTCCAAAGTGAACATGTTTAAATTTATTAGCCTCGTTTCATAGCTCTGGTCCTTCATACCCCTAATTAGTTTGGTTGCCCTCCGCTTGACTTTTTCCAGCTCAAGGAAATCTTTTCTTAGTGACCAGAACTGGACCGCGTACTCCAGATGAGGTCGAACCAATGATCTATAAAGTGGCAAAATTATAGACTTGTCCCTGCAATACATTCCCTTCTTAACAAAGGACAAAACCCTGCTAGCTTTGTTTACAGCAGCCTGGCACTGCAAGCTACCTTTCAGTTTGTGGTCTACAATGACCCCCAAATCTTTCTCCATTTCTGACTTCCCTAGCGGCACGCCCATAATTGTATAACCCATTTGTTTATTTTTATTTCCAAAGTGCAAGACTTGGCATTTATCAACATTAAACCTCATCTGCCACATGAATGCCCACTCCCCTATTTTATCCAGGTCCTCCTGTAATGTTATAGTGTATAAGTCCGTGTCTATTACCCTCCCTATTTTGGTGTCATCCGCAAACACGGAAATATCGCTGTTAACACCCTCCCCGATGTCATTAATAAATAAGTTGAACAATATGGGACCCAGCACAGAACCCTGAGGCACACCGCTCATTACACTAGCCCAGTCTGAAAAGGTGCCATTTACAGATACCCTCTGGACCCGTTCCCGTAGCCAGTTCTCTATCCATGTACACACCACTTCATCTATGCCCATAGACCTCAGCTTGTGTAGCAAGCGTTTGTGTGGTGTCGTATTAAAAGCCTTTGCGAAATCCAGATATACCACATCTATCGGCCTCCCTCCATCGATGTCTCTACTCACCCGCCCATAAAAAGTTAGCAAGTTAGTTAGGCAGGAACGGTCTTTCCTGAACCCGTGCTGATTGTCATTAACTATCCCGTTTTCCTGAACAAATTCTACCAGATAATCCTTTATTATGCCCTCTAGCATTTTACAAACTACCGATGTTAGACTGACCGGCCTATAGTTCCCAGGTTGGCACCTAGCCCCCTTTTTGAATATTGGGACTACCGTAGCCCTCCGCCAATCACTGGGGATCCTACCAGTCATTAAGGAGTCCTTAAAAATGAGGATTAATGGTCTAGTTATAACCTGGCTTAATTCCTTAAGTACCTTGGGGTGCAGGTTATCCGGACCCACTGCTTTGTTTGCATTGAGCATTTTAAGTCTTTGTTGTATCCCGGTTTCTGTCAACCACTGGGGTATATTTTGAGTTAAACTGGGAGTTTTATCATGTGTGTCAAACCCGTTTCCCTCCCGAGTGTATACTGAGGAGAAAAAAGCGTTCAGCGCCTCGGCCCTCTCCTTGTCGTTTGTGACTAGCTTCCCGCTTCCATCCTTTATTGGGCCTATCTGCTCCTTTCTCACCTTTTTACTGTTAATATATTGGTAAAAATTTTTGGGGTTCTTTTTACTATCTGCGGCGATATGCTTTTCGCACTTTTAGCTGCCCGGATTTTTAGTTTGCATTTTTTGTTATATTCTTTGTAGTTAAGGAACGCCACTGCCGTCCCCTCCGTCTTATATTTTATAAATGCCGCTCTCTTGTCCTTGATGTGTTGTTTTACAGTTTTATTAAGCCATATAGCTTAAAAGAGAACTATGGCCCAACCTTTTTTTGCCATAGTTCTCTTTAGGGTCACAGGAGGACATATACTAATATCCTCCTGTGACCCAATACTCAGCATATAGTGGGCTATTGTCTGCAATATGCTGGCAGCGCAGAGCCATGCTGCAGCCGGGTCGGATCCTGTAAATAGTGTTGGGATCCAGGCTGCTACCTGATTGACTGCTGGCTCTGCCCACCCCTTCCCCCATCCAGACCTCCAGTCAGCGCTGGAGAAACAGAGAGGGGAGGGAGAAATCCTTGCGGGGAGCGGAGACTGACAGTCAACGCTCTCTGCAGGGAGATGATCGGGAACTGAGCAATCGGCGGTATGCGAACGCTCAGTTATCAATCTATAGAGCCGACGTGTAACAGCTTCAGTGTCACACATCGGCTCTTATGGGGATGAGTGTATTTCACTCTGCCCATAATTCTCCTTTTAATTGCTTAACCAGGTCAATTACTTGCTTATATAGGACCTACATGTGTCACCTGTCAGCCTGTGTTGTTTTGAAAATGTGTGTACAGAATTGCAAATTCTGTGGCAGGTAAAACAGTAAGCATATATGTATTCCAACTGTGCATTTAGCTGCCTGTCTAGAGTATTACTATTCTACGATGTTTCCTGTTTGATTAAACATTTTCTTTTCTGTAACCTTTTGTATTTCACAGTAATTGTCTGATTTAATATTCATATTTAAATTTCACTAATTTCATAGCTGTTCTGACCCATTTGTTTACTCTTTCTATATGTAAACTCTTCCACAAATATAAAGTGTTGAAGACATCCAAGTTTTAGTGCTGCAGAACCTTATCTTGAGCACACTGGCACTTTCTGATATGCAGATGAAATCATGTCGGTCTTTGCAAGTAAGTGAAATATTATCATTGAAGAAAACCATTGGGAATTTGCTCGAGTTTTAGGACTTATGTTTTTATTAGGGTGTACTACTTATGAAAAGAATGTATAAATTACTTTTACAATAAATAGTTTTCTGCCTATAGGGCAAAGAACAGCTAAGAGTCTTGCAACCTGTTAGAGTGCCAACTGAAGAGGTTTAGCTTGGGAATACGTAAAGTGAGTGTCAGGCATACCGGCACAGGTGACCCCACACCAGCGCAGGTACCCACACGGGCAGACCAAACACGCGTGACCACAGAGGACAAGGCAGAATGTATGATATACCGTTTTAATATGCCAACCAGAATAATACAAACAGAAACAAGTCTTAGCAACCAACTACATCTAAACAACACCACATGCAAGAAGAACCAGGCAAGCACACCCAGGGAGCACAAAGCAAAACACCAGGGGAACTAAGGGACGAAAGGTCAGGGTACAAGGAGCTAACAGGACTCAGGAACATAAACAGGTCACAGTTCTGGACAACAATCAGGGAACATACACAGGATACAGGACTCGGGAACAGCAGCAGGTTACAGGACAGGGGACTCAGGCTTAACAGGAAACCAGAAACAATACTAAGCCACAGACCTTACTGCAGGGAGGGCTTAAGTAACCTCCCAAGGAGCACCAGGTGGTGGATGATTGGTGGCAGCTGGGAGACACCTGCAGGTAAGCGCTGGAGTTGTAGTTTCCAGCACCACCCAGTGGAGGTCTGGTACCTAGCAGTTCCTGGCTGCCTGGAGACCCCCGCAGGTGAGTACGGAAACTGCAGGGCTTGGCTCCAGCGCCACCTGGAGGCGCTCTGGATCCTAACAGGGAGCATGACTATGCAGCGGGATTTGTGTTTGAAGAGACATTTTGCCAGGAGAAGGGACACATTACTACATTGTTTAGCTTCTCGAGGCAGTAGTAAAGATCTTAACTTATTCAGGACTGCCAGACGTACATAAACATCCTGGTCCTGAAGTGGCCTATACTAAGATCATGGCTGCTGCTGCTGCTGCAGCCATGATCTTGATATTGTTCTTTTCAGAAGGCGGAGCTTGTTCCGTACAAGTGAACACCTGTAGCAGCCTGCCATAGGGGTATCTATTTACTCGATGTAACCCCATCTGTTATATTTTACCCAAAAATTGGTTTTCTATTCTATTTCTGTGCATTAAAATTCATGTATTTTATCCTAAAACTATTGGATTTATAAACATTTGCGCAAATCGTGCAAAATGAATTGCAACTAGCATTTGTTTGTTTTTTTATTTTATAGGGCCTCTGCCTTCAGAAAATGTATATTTGTTTTGGGGTATTAAGCGGTTTCCTAGCCAAAAATTCAGATTTTATCATGTGTACAAAAATTAAGAAATAGCTCCAGGCAGCAAGTGGTTAAAGTAAATTTCCACTTTTGCAGTCAAATTGGGTAACACCTATTTTATATTTGTTACATATTTCTAGTCACATAACATAAGACCAAGGGGGACAGACTCAAACTGTACAGAATAGCTTGCAGACTGGCCAAATGACCCCTCTAAAGAAACGGCTAAAAGCTTAAAAAAATGTGAAAAAAAATATTTAGGTATGTTGTATTTGGCATTCAGAAAATATATAATGTTGGGGGGTTTTACGTCATTTTCAGGCCTAAAATGTGGAATATAACATGGGTGCAAAAATTGAAAAAAGGGCCTCAGTCATGAAGGGGTTAAAGTGTTGGACACTCTTTATAGTTCAGGGACAAGTGTAATATTCATAGACTATAGTGTTTGTGTTTCCTTAAAGGAGAACTATGGGGTCAGTGTTTGTTTTTCCCCATAGTTCTCCTTAGGGTAACGTGAGGATACAAACTAACGTCCTCCCGTTACCCTAAGCTCAGTATACCGCGAGCTACAGCTCGCAGTATACTGAGATGCCGCAGCCGGAGCGGATCCCAACGT